ACAACTATTTTTTCTTGTGGGACACTCACATGAGATCAAACATTCTGGCACTCTATTGACGAGCCAAATTATATATATATATATATATATATATATATATATATATATATATATATATATATTTGCAATTAACTTGATTTACTCAGCAGCTGTATAACTCCAGCGACTCGTAGGCCAATTTCCCTTCTGACCGGAACTAGTGGCAGTCATTTTCGAGAAGTCTATAAACATTTCAAGTTAATTCCTGACCTGGGTGACTCCCTCCTCGGACGCTCTATCGACGCTCAGCTTTAGGCAAAGAGCTCAAAGGAGCAAGCGTATGAGAGCAGACAAGCATGCCAGCGACTCCGGGTCGAGAATGAGAAAAGTACGACCCGATTAAGGCCAAGCTATGGAATGAGTGGAGCGTCGAACTCGACCTGTAGGTGAATAAGGCTGATGATCGCTCGTACACGTCAGTCAATCCTTGGAACCAGCGCTGTAAGAGTCTTGGAGATAGATCTCAAAGAGGCGGAAAAGAACCTTGGCGCGGGCTCGGGTTCCATACCAGGAATTGCTCGAGACGAAGCGGCTAGCGTGTTCGCAAGTAGCTCAATTGAACTCGACTAGTAGGTACATCGCGAACGGGAATATGGATTGGGACTAGAGGGTCTCAGGTGGAGAACACCAGGGGGATACGTTGGGGGTGAGACATGGATGGACAAACTAAGTGACAGCGTATGTTGACTGCTTGGAGACACCAACATGGTGACACAGTGTGACCAAGGTATTAGCAGAGTACTCCCAGCAAAGGACACTTCACAAGGCCAACATGTGTTTCTCTACACACGGTTCGTAGTAGACGCGGCAGTAGCGGCCGGACGTATACGATGCATTTGGAATGACTGGCACCCATTGTTCATAAATCCTGTTGCTTGACATGACTGAATGTCGAGCCGGATAGCTTCTGTCTTTGGCGTAATAGTTTTGGAAATTCAGATCGCTGCTACCCCCGCTGTTCTGCTACAGGTCGGAGAACATTCATTAATAGTTACGCTTTAATAGTAACATTGAACAGGTGTAATACGTTGATCATCGCAGAATATTGGATCCTTTCTGGTTCGGCCAGTAACAGACACCCGTAGTAGGGATACGTTGCCAAACTTGAGGTAACTAATAGCTTGAATCGTAATCCAACTTAAACTTGCCTATTAATATGATTTGGCTATGCTAAGGTCTTAGTTTTGGTCGCATAGGTAAGTTCATACATTCAGTAATCTTACAATACCGTAGCAATTAACCCAGTACCTCCTATAGAAACATGTACTTGCTAGAATATCTTCGTAAAACGTAAAACATTAGCATCGACTGGTAGTAAGTCGATAAATCAATCTAATTTGATGCTAAACAAACGAAGATAATTAATTGTTTACAATTAGTGTAAAATATGGAAGAAAATAGAAAAATAAACGCAATCCGTATCGATATATTTTATTTAATTTTCTAAACGATTCAATCATAATTTAGATCTTAATATGTTTGTATTAAGAATAGCGTACATATAAAGTAGCAGAGCAATCGTAATGTACATACATATTCAGATTCGGATAATTCACTCTGTGTATGTAGTCTCGATTGATTAGAAATAAAAAAAAAAATAGCAGAGTAATTTTGAATGAATAGAAGATTACCTTCAAATAATGATAAAGCTTGAACAAGGAAAACGTAAATTATTCCTCAGTTTTAGTACAAGTCGTTCATAGCAACGAATGGCGAAAAAGTCAGCGTTCTGATCAACTCGGAGAGAAAACAGGCCGTCAAGTTAACAGTAAAAACAAACACTGGACACGTTTTTCTGAAGCTTTCGGACACCTCTTAAGCATGTCACATGCCAGAGCGGATTAACGGAGACATTGTGCCATCCGTGCTAATAGTCAGCGAGTGATTTGCCTCTAGGGAATTCGCCAAGTCGATGAGGTGTCTCAGAGGCGCTTTGACAACAACTGCGACAAAAAAGGCCAAAAATGTCTATACCTTCTCTAAACGCGACTAAGCGCTCGAGGTCACGAAAGAGGCCCGCCAATATCGATAATAATTAAGGGGATTACCGTGACGGATAATGTTCCCATGAATGTAAGGTCTGGAAGGATGTACCGTTCTAGTTTACAATGGTTCCACAATCTCTTGGCCCCTATGATCCAAGTCTTTCGGCTTTTAGCATTATATGCTCCAACAATATTCTTTGTACACAAGAAATTTATTTGCCGCAAGAAGAACATGCCAGCTCCGTTATTATGAAAACAAAGACAGCACTTTTTACCTGTCGGAACCTTTTATGTGTCCTCGGAGCACATGTAGCACAATTGACTATTGTACTGGGTTGAAATGGTGAGTGGCGTTGTGCCGATACTGATATTGTTTTCTGGAGAGGAGTCCCTGCTGATTCGATAGGCAAGAGGTTTGCTGGGGTATTTGTAGTTTAAAATACTATATATGTTCGACTCTTATAGAGTGCCTATAAGTATAATGATGGAAACTTGGACAAACGAAACATTCGATTCACACACGGTCGACATCGTAAATCGATAGGTTCAGCTTAAAAATTATCATTGTGCTGTACGTTTCTATTTATGCCGGCCTAATTCCTTATCCCGCCATAAATTCTCTCAGATATCCCGAACTGAGCGCCTTTAAAAAATCGTTACATATACTTTAATTACATCGCTATAGTGACACACAATCACTACAGCTTACAAGTGGATGCGAGTATCTGTCTGGGTCTAACCGTGTTGCCCTACTGGCCCCTTTCTTTCCCTCTATATAAAAACTGCATAGATGCATGCATCCACAGAACGAAGCTTTTGTCGTCCGGCTAAGATTAGATGCTGCTTGCTGCAATATGTATTATATGTACGCTTAAATGGAGCTTAATGCATGTCCAGAACATGGGCTGTGCGCGTCCCACAACTAAGCGTCGTGGCACCACACCATACCGCGCCCAGTCGCTTGTTCCAGGCGAAAAGATGACTGCCAAGATCCTGTGTGAGTAGGCGGTAGTCGACTCTCTCTCTCTTTTTCTAAGTTTGTCTGGAGTAGGAGGCGGCGTGTCCCCCGGCTACCGCCGCCGTAACAGACGACGGAGAACGACTATCGCTCCGTAGAGATGATCAATGATGATGGCGATGTTGTGACAGTTCCACTTCCTAGAAGGGCGCCGGCCCCCTTGATAGCAGTCGACCACGACGACAACTACAGCAACAACAACAACGACGACAACAACAATGACGACTAGGACAATGAGTGTGGGCCAGCGGAGTTCGGTACGGCTCTTTTGCTCAGGCGAGAATATACGAAGAATAGGTGTCTTCTCGCGCCGTAGAAGGTCCGTACATGACTTGGTCGTCGTAGAATTTGTCTGCTAGATTGATGCGATTCCACAATGTTCCGTCAGTTCATACATACAGAGGAAAAGGCTACTGTGCAGTCGATACATTTATAATGTAATAATTAATCGATGCAATCGGTGCAAGATGTCGGTACATAGGCGATTTCGCGCACTGTTGACGAAATTGAGCCGTGTTTGTATTCGTAGAAAATACGTTTGTTAAGCCGTAAACCATTTTACCTCATGTGGTGAAAATAGCTGCGACAAGCATGATTTCAGGTCATTCAATATGGCTGGGGGGCAAGGACGCGGGGTTGTGTGTATATATAAGTGAATGTGTGTGTATTAAACAGGTGTCAGGAAAGAAAGGGTTGACGTACGTTAGATTAGTTCTTGGCAGTAGCTAGCGGTAATAATGGCGATGCTGTAGTGGCAACGCCTTTGCCTTTAGCAGAAAATACATTGAGCCAATTTAAGTTCGAATCTATACGCAAACATATTTTAATGCCCTCAGTCAAACGGTCCCGAAACATACTGAATGTGGCCATAGTCCCTTCTACTGCTAGGTGATTACTCATACCGAGGGCATTCTACGTTTTGAGAAGTTCCTGAAGCGATCTTAGAACAGCGGCACCGACGCTTCTCATAAACGCAACGGCTGTTTAGCTATATGCACCTGTGTTAACTTTGTTACTTAGAAGTATTTAGAGAAAAACTTTTGACATGCCTTACTAATAAATTCTTAAAAGTCACCCTCTTAAGAGTATGTCAATATGCTCTGTATTTTTTACAGTCATGGATACTGCGCCCCACTTGTGGACCAAAAGGACGGCAAGTGGTGCCTTTATGTTAACTAAAATAAAGCGCTACTTTTTTGCCTAACATCTAATAGCTTGCGGTTTATTATTGTAGCCTAGCATTGCCGTTGAATGGTTCAAGTTGTACATATATATGATTCGCTTTCGCCATTATGTAGCATTTATCACATATACTTACTTTACTAATCAAGATTCCAATTGAAAAACTGGACCAATTTCGTTCTGTAGAAAGATCAGGAAGAACTATTGCAGTTCATCGCGGTGCCGTCAACTTTTTTTTACGGCGAATTAATTTTCGAAAAATGTAGCAAATTGTTCAAAACGTATTTTTGCAGAAGGTGTGGTCATGTCAAAATGGAGCGTCTGCAATTAGCCAATCAGTTGCAGTGCCTTAAGGAATACTTATTATTGAAGATATTAGCTCGTGTCTTTCATAGCAATGATTCCGATTCATACCTTTCAAAATCGTCATAAATCCACAGGATTTTTTGCAACGCAGAGGATATTGCAATGCAGAGTACCCCCCCCCCCCCCCCCGAAATACAACCAATTGCAATAATACAGAAATTAGCCAAAACGAGGCTTGGTTGTACCATACAGAAAACTGTAAAACCAGCGTAAATATAGTAACTAGAATAAAATGTTGTTTTATTTTTTTATTAAGACGTTATATATAAGACGTTAAGTATCCCAAATGTGTGTGTTATTGGATGATGTTGAATCAACCTTCAAGCTTATCAAACGTTTGGCGTAATAGATTGCGCACTACAGTAAATAAAGAAAGGATTTATTACACATATACATTTTAATGGGAAAATTCCTTTTTTTGATGAAAAAAACTAAGCCTAAATATATACATAGTGCAAGCACATAATCGCTTTCCTCATGAGGTTCACCCCCATAGCCATTGCGTACCACTCTAAACAAACAGTAAGTATATAGTTAAGGTGTCCGTGCGAGTACGTAAACTAAAACCTATTCAGCTCTCATTATATTCGTCCTTTTTAAACTTTATCGATTTCCTCCTACGTAGGTCGTCGGCGTACGATCGTTCTATGGGCTAGATGCTATTTCCTGTTGTTGCCCTCGTGTTGAGCTGTTTGGGACACGCTCCATTAAACCTCAGCGCTAAACGGCATCCCGGCGACCACCTGGACTATTACATCGGTCGGATATGCTGTTCGCGTCTTTGTTTATGACACGTTGTTTTGAAAATGAAAAACTAATATTTGTAGGGTCCTTTTAGTATTGTGGAAAACCGCCGAATAGAAGACTATCTACGTAAGTCGAGTTTTCAACGAAATGCTCAGAGGTCAGATAAACTATTCTCCATTCGAAGGATCGGGCGAAAGCGACGGAAGTGGACAAAGTTAGATATCTCGAGTGGCAGCGAGGGTTCCATTGTACAATGTACACACATGAAGTACTATACTGAGTATGCTGTAAGCTGGTGACCAGGCTTGACATTCAGTCGTGATGGTTTCCGTTATCTTATGCATGAATGCCCCCACGTGGCACATCACTGGCGCGATGCAACGTGGCCCCGCCGTCAATATAACGGATAGTAACGCTAAAGTCGTGACAGCCCGTTCCGTTCTGTGATATCCAGGAGAATGAGCTCTGCACGACCCTCTTCTGCTCGAGGGATCACAGCCATTAAACTCTGGCAATGTTGGATCTCGCAGTAGCTGTAATGATTTTTCACACTAACTGACTATACGCGCCTTCAACGAAAGAAGACGGTGACACGCACTCCGGCCGTTTACGGCTGGAGGTTACTGACATTAATGTACAGACAGGCACAGATGCCACATTTGGTAACATACCTGATTGTCAATGCGTAGTTTTTTCTATTGATCCTAGATATTACGGACGTCAGTGTTTCAGATAAAGTTACTATTTCTGTTGGCTGCAATTCTGCTAAAAGAAAAAGTAATCTTTAACAACTCAAATAACGACCCGTACTTTAATAACGACCCCGACAACTCGTTCATTGCTGCTGCACAACTTCGAATTATAACCATGTATTTTTATTGACGCTTGTTTATTTCAGTCTTAATTGAGACGTAGTGTTCGTACGTTGTTTTTTGGTTCTATGGGAAATTAAGCAATAACGCGCTTCTGTTTGTCGAACGACCTCTTTCGGTTCTCAGCATATGCAGAATAAAATTATAATAACGAATGAAGACGCTGGGCTTCTTAAGCAATGCATAGTCGCAGTGAAATCGCTAGGTCTATGTTAACTTTACATCTATTCCTGTTACTAATGTCGCACCGATCGGTAACAAAAGCAGAGCACGCCAAACGTTACGGCCGTCATTCGATGAAAAACGAAGATCCACACTTGTGGTACCGGGTTAGGCCAACTCTCTCCCTTTTGGTTAGAGAATTTGTACCGAGTAGCTGCACAACTACTCCTAGCCATTTGTGGATTCATGTGCCGTCATATGCTGCCTCCTTGACGCCGCTTTCAAGACCCAGTCAATCCGGCACCCGATCGCTCCGCCCACAAGCAGCCGATCTCCTCTCTCAGCTCACCCCTTATCGGTTTAACAGGCTTCGACTGCTGGCCGATTTAGAGCCACATGTTCTCGATCAGCAGTTCAGTAGCGTTCAGTGGAATCATCAGAGCGTCGTTGGCCAGCGCCGTCGTGACGACTCGGGCGCCACAGTGCAGCACGAACGTCTTTCGAACGAGTACAGAGAATCGGTCATAAATAGAGACGGTGGTTACGTTAAAGCATCGAAGCGTTTGCGGTGAGCCCACAGCTAGAAGGACGACGAGGCCTCCATCGAGTTCGTGTTAGCGGCTGTAGCTGTAGCGCCCTTTTGTTTTCGCGCTGGCTATCCACGATCAGCGAATGATGGAAGAGTCGTTCCCCGTTCCCGTGCAGCACAGTGACAGTAGCGGCATGGGCACGGCGACGACAGCGAACGCGTCGCTGGCAATGCCGCCGCACCATTCCTCGACAATGTCAATAGCTGGTTTTTACGGCCAGGAGGACGACGATGGTCTCGTTGGTGGCGGGTGTATCGATATGGATATGGTGCCAGAATCGACGTCGGTACTTTCGTCGGTGACTCAGAATCGCCGAAAACCGCGCGGCGTTGGTGGCGCAAAGCGAAAGTGTCCAGAGGATGACCCCAACGAGGCCAGCCGACGCAAACGAGTAAGTCGAACATCTGGAACAGTTTACATCGATAGTAGTTATGGTAATAACAGTAGCAGTATCATTCTAGAATCATAGCGCACGATTCCTACCGATGATGTCGATCTTCTTCTAGTCGATTCCGTCAGTTGATTCGTTGGCCGACTTGTTCGGTAGTTCATCAGAGTGCATGTTTCCGTCGATAGATAAAGGGAAGTAAACATCGTAAATTTGAAGAAAATTTAGTGAAATATTTACCCGTACGCGCGCGTCCTAAGAGAGACTTGTTAGCGGCGATGTCGATGACTGCTAGTCACGATGTGGAGCTCGTCGTCACCGTCTATAACGAGCGTCACCGAAAATCCTCCATGGCAACGGGGATCTTAGTTTGTTGATCACCAGCGCAGTTCCATAGGGAGTAGAGAGTAGAAGCGCTAAAAAAAGAATAAGGAAAATTAGACAGCCGTGATATAAAACGTTACTAGTAAGATTTTTAATGCTGCTGCCGCCAGGTCTTCTGCTTGTGGCGATCATGACGGGCCGGCAACCAACGACTATAAAGCATGTGTGTTTATTTTACGCAAACAAACACTGCATTCGATGTGTCTGCGAACAATGGGAACTGTTCGTTAAACGGAACCACACATATCGCGCCCTATTGATAATGATGCTGATGGTAGTGACGAGATGTATGTTTCATGTGTGTGTTTATACATGCGCGTATGTGTGTGTGTGTGTGTGTTATAGTTCTCCAATTTTATCATGTATACGTTTATGTGCCTGTGCATTTTTCCAGCAGCAAACCAGCCAGGACATACAGAATCAACGACATCTCGCCAACGTCCGCGAACGCCAGCGTACTCAATCATTGAACGAGCGATTCGCTCGACTTCGTCGTATTGTTCCAACGATGCCGTCCGATAAAATGTCGAAGATTCACACACTACGACTAGCTACGTACTACATTCATTTCCTTAGCCAAATGCTCGACGGGCAAAATTCGATGATCGATCAAGTCGAGACGGTGGATACGGCCGCATTCGTACATCAGCTCCGCTATGCATTTTCAGTTTGGAGGATGGGTACCACGCTACATACGCCCCTCGAAATGAACAACAACACCCCGAACGAATCCGGCAGTCACCAGTCCAGCAGTAGTGAGCAGCCCTATAATAATCCTTACCATTAGAGTCGAAAACGTTCGCTGTGGAAGAAGGATGGGCCAGGACGTTATTGCAATGTAAATAGATGTACGTTTACTTAATAATGTGTATATTTGTGTAAATAATCGTCTACTATATAGAATATGAACAGTATATCAAACTGGCAAAGCTAGTATGACCAAAGATGCAAAGAAATATACGATGTTGACACAGAGACGTGCCGTATATTTGTGTATAGTACTGCTAGGAGCCAAGGTAATAATTCAAAGATTTAGAGGGAGGTATCTCCCGCGTTTGGACGGGCAGTGGTCATTTGTACAATATTATGGACTAATTATTAGAGGGTTACGTAGATATATCGAGAAGCGATCTGAAATCAAACGATTGTCCTAACGAGGCGCAAAGCTGCATGAGCACTGCTCATCGGAATGTCAACTACTAGCTCTGATCAGGACAACAAAAATAAAGATCCGATTTAAAATCGACACGGCAATTACCCGGGTATTGACTCCGACCAGAAGCTGTTCGTATGCGAGAGAAGTTAGCATATTGAATAGTTGGTCACCATTAAACATACGGACACTTCTTGTACGGCTGTCCCAGCTATGCCCGACAAGAATGACCCATCCGGCCCAGCAAAGGTCCCGTTTTTATCGTTGTACGTAGATTTTCGACGGCGTTAAGTTCGCGGCCAATGCGATAACACTTAATTATGCAATAGTTCTAAAATTACTTAGCTATGGTTGAACTATAGGTCAGCGGCAAGTTTAGTGTTCAACTATGAGAATTCTTGAACTTAACCGAAACGCTGTACTTCCGCTACTTACAAACGCTCATTGTGGTTCTTCTGTACGGATTCGTTGTGTCCCTTGAAGATTCTGCGTATAATTTGTTATAAATAAAAAGATTCTTTTTCTTAAAAACTCAGGTCTAATGTTGTCTCTACAGAATGAAAAGGAAAGTAGTATACAGGGTGAAGGAAAATGTTAATTAGCATAAAATATTGAGCGTACCGTTCCTGTGGGGATGTTTCTGTTGGAAACGGGGTCACACGAATACGAAACCGTCTATTGCATTCCTGTTCATTGTTGCCATTTGACTGGAATCCGTTAATCGAAATCCATTCTAAGGAGCTTCTCCGCTTCAGATCGATATGCCTAAATAAAGTGACCTGTTCAAACCAAGATGCTGGATGGTGCCCATAGCTAGAATATGAACCCGTGCCATGCCCCTGCATGTAAGTGAACTTAGCTAACTGACCACAGCTAAGTATTTAGCTAAGCTAGGATTGCTTCCGTCGCCCTTTCGACTATAAAGAATAGTATTATGCTGCAGGTACACACCAATTGAGTACGAACCACTTCAAATCTGCTTTGTGCCAACGTTGTAAGATTGTACCTTCAGCAATTATCTTTTTGTTTCAAAATTTTGACTTGACCACAATACCTCACGGTCATAATGACGTAGAAGAGCACTTGGCGAAGCCGCGCAACGTCCCTGTTTCCCCTGGAGATACAATCTTCTTCGCAATTAGACATCGTTAAGCCAGTAGAAGGTGCCGTGCAAAACAAGATATTTTTATAGTGAACTCCACCTTCCTGCAGGACAAGAAATTTGGCGGGCCACTATACCTTCCGCGAAACAAATGTACGTTTCAGCACATCGACCTAGACATCAGATGTCTGCATTGCTACATGCATATGTACCAGGCGTGTCATTAAACAGCATACACTGTATTCAATGTTTAAGCGTTTGAGATCCGGAAACCGCGGTCTAGATTTACGATGTTTAATTGCCGAAGCCGCTAATTTCATTCCCACTTTTTTGCTATAATAGTCAAGCTACAACGTCTGTATGCTATAACTATACTGTATCCGCCCCTGCCATAGGCGGCCGCGTAGCGCTTGACGATTTTACGCATCAGGGGTGATGGACGATCGGGGGACGTCTCGGCGCGTGCGTTCGCCAGAGGTTGCAGTACCGTTAACAAAGTGGAATGGACTGTAAAACTTCATGAAACAAATGGTTAGACGAAGGTATAGAGATCTCGTTATTCTACCTGCAAATTAATATTTTCAAGCCTGTATACGGGTTTATGGGTTTCCACTTTAGAAAAATGTAAATATGTAAACCATAAACTAAACGTTCAAAACGGTTATTTCTATTATAAACAAATAAAAATATTGTTGAGTAGTTCACTTAATAACCAGGAAATGTTGTGACATCTACGTAAAAGATAGAGCAATAAGCGTTGATTCTTGCGTTCAGTAATGGTTTGAGTGTTCAGTATAACAAATGCGCAAGAGGATTCAAGTTTCCGTATGTCACATTATTAGTATATACTAGGTACACACGAACTGGATTTCTGCACATTGCAAAATTTACTACAACCTTTTTTTGTTGATTTGCTCTAAATTGCTACATTTACATCTTAAAAACGCAGACAGAAGGAAAAAATCTCAGAGCCACAAATTGGTTATCAGTGCTTCGTTACCGGAATGATCGATATAAACGTCATCAGTTAATCTGAAGGAGGAGAATCTGTTCAGACAACATATATAATAACATGAATGAAAAACGACCCAGCTAACCTTAGATTCAAAGTGGTTCAAGGCGCCCGCTGAAGTGACAGGGCTCAGTGATGACGTAAAGGCTAAACACATAAGCTCTGCTTTCGATTGTCGCACACTAGGACCATTACCATGGAGTGCTATGTCAAAATAATATAATATATATTGTAATGGAATATAATACCAATGAACTGCTACCTATTTTTGGAAGGTTGATGCACTGGTTAATGTTGAATATGATCTTTGCTATTAGTCGTCAATCCACACTGCGCAAACTTGTGGACAACATCGCCTTATGCTCAGGAGAGAATAAGAACTATTATAAGTTTTGAATGAAGTAGCTACTTCAGCCATCAGATCGTTTGCCGTACATAATCGAAACGAAGCTTATATAATGTCTAATCAACGGTTAGTGAAAGGCTGCCCACCTTTTTACTCCGCCCCCATACATAGTACAGCCAATTACTTTATGCTAACATTCGTTTGTGTGTCGTCTCTAGTTGAAGATTAAAACAGATCGTAAGAGCCAGCAGCCGATGGAATGCTAGGCGGTGGCGCTGCGAAACTTAAAAGTCGAAAGAATAAATACCGCCAACGTGAGAATCTACTAGATAACGACTATATCGTAAAATTAGGATCGCTATGATGCTGGCGTGAAGTAATTTTATTCTTTATTTATTGTTTTATTTATGTTTATTTATTTATTATGAAAGTATTTAAGAAACCGACAAATGGGTCAAGATATATTTTACCGAATAGAATGGAAACAACCTTGGCCAGGGGATCTCAAGAAGCGAACTGGCACGTAAGTATTTCCTGGTAATTTGATTACGCGCTCATAATGTATCAGTGCCCATCGATTTGCTATCGACCGTTTTTCGATATCAGGCGATCTGCTTGAAGAGTTTGACGAAAAATACTTTAGCCGAAGACCTTCTGAATACAATATACGCGTAAAATAGGGTAGCTGCCTCCATGTTCAGCACGACAGGCAACAATTAACGAAATCCACCGTTCAGTTCCGGACGTTGACGCGCGACAATGACTTGAAGTTTGCGTCGTGTTCCAACAATAAGAATAGTCTATAATAACGATACGACAGGGCTAATCAATACCACACAATCGCACTGCAGCGCCCTCAAACTAGTCTGAGCACATAGTGTTAACTTACTTACTTACTTGCCGAAACACGAGAAACTATGGCCAGACGATACCGAGGGTTCAAAGCCGATTTACTTAACAATAAAGATCCAGTTATCAAAGGTTAAATCAAATGCAGGTCAACAACAGCGTACCGTGTTAGTCTGGAAATGCACTGTCTCCAAGCGCATATCCTTTTTTCAACTGAACCGATGTTACTTGCTATCGAGTTAGTGGCATGCTGCACGTAGTCTTGTTTCAATAACTGTAACTTGTAAATAGATCACATCTGCTCGTACTTATCACTAAATCATGTTTATTATCTAATTTGTTTTATTTTTTTTTTTTTCACCTCAAATTTGGGATAATTTGCAGTAATTTAACGTCCTCACGCGTATTATAATATGGCATCGACCGCTGGGTAAACGATCGTTCAACACAAGCACGTATGTGATACTCAATATACCTAACTTACTGAGTACGCAAGATTATTGCAAGTATATCGAATTTACATGGCGTCATCTATTCCCATCGACCTTATCTTTTCCGATATTTCAGCAGGCTTAGCGACACCCCGTCATATGGATTTTCGTCTGCATATATTTACCATACACCAGCTATCGTCTCATCGGCGATCCTGTACTACAACATTTGCTTTATGTGTGAAGATGGAGACGCAATCGTCAGTAAAGGTTAATGTCAACACATTTGATCATCTATCTTCTTCACGTTACATTTTCATTAGCGTTCCTAGTTGAATAAAATAACAGTCACTCGTGAATTTCTGCTGGGTCTTTTTTAGTCGGTGTTGCCAGCACTGTCCTGGAAAGCCTGACAAGTAGCAGCACCGAATATTTACTTCTTACGCTTTTAAGCTAGCTTTACCGCTAGCAGCGAAATTTTGAAAAGTTATTTTTTATTCGTCTCCTTTTTCTAGTCAAACAGCAAGCAATGCACCCAGCCGGATGCATTGCTTGCCGTTTCTACCTATTCGAATCGGACTACGAAGGATTTTTAATTTGAACCTTAGCATCTACTACTATATACTCTCTCTCTATAACCATTGCTCTCTATAACCAATATAGATACAGGGACATAGCTGCCCACGAAGTCGGGAAACTGCTGTCGCGCTATGTCTTGAATACGATAATCTCGTGTGGCTTTCGACTAGTCACCGACATCGTTTGCGAGCTCTAACTATGTAGCATTTGACAAATCGAATTGTTTGTATCACTGGCCCTTACGTGGGCCGTTCTTTCGATTCAGGAGGGCTACTTTTCTCCATGGTCCACTAAATAATGGGTGGGGGAGACAGGTGCTTACATGTGCCATTGATGCCTACATTACGGAACATCTAAGGCATGGTGACCGGAAGTTGGAACTTGTGGTCCATCGAGTCGTTCCATGTTATGTGACTTATGTTAGATTATAATACTCACATTATACTATTTTAAATTCTAAATTTCAATTAAATTTTATTAACATTCTATTTCAATTTCATGAGTCAGGTGTCTTTTCGACGCATCTCTCAAGTGTTAGAAAAGATAATGTGTTCAATGTGTAACGCAAGTCTATGGCAGGCTGAACAAATGTCCCACGTTTCTCAGGAAAACTTTTTAAAATTATAATTAAATAGAAGCGAGCATTTTAAAACAGAAAAGCTTCAGAAAAATCTGCCACAAGTTATTCTAATGGGGAGTGTACTTCGCGAACCTCGAGTCAACCCCTTTCATATATTGCCCGAAACATCGCTGGGTTTCTGACACTGCGATAATAACTTCCTTTCTTAGTGAAATGCTGTGATCGCACAGGGTAGGCTTAAAGCGAGTCACCAAACAACTGTTTGCAGAATTTGACTGTTACGGGATTGCCACTGTAATTGTTGAAACGTAACCCAAAAAACTTAAACTATTCTATAGTAAGTAAGTCCTATCAAGAGAGAGGCCTATTGGTAGATGAAAGACTTAAGTATTAAGATACAGTAACACTTTATATTAAGTACAATTTTCTGGTTGCTTTTAGGTCTTTGTGGCAGCGTAAATGATTTAAAAAGTTACACATTTTGAAGCTAACAACTTCCTTGGAGAACGATAACTTCAAACTGCGAGTCAGGATCACTCAATTCAGGATTACTTTGTCAGGCCTATGGGAAGATACAGTGTCGAATCAAAGTATCTCTTCCACCTATTGCTACCATCATTAATTCATACAACGATTTTATGTTGCTATCATTAGAACGAATGTACTAATGATGTTACTTATAAACCCCAAGCGGTCCGACTTGCATAGATCGTCATGTGTAGTACCGATGTGAGGTCGTTACCATACAAAACAACCAATACAAAAATAATAATATTGATCGTTCTTAGAGTAGGCTTAGCTACTACTGCGGTATGCTATTACTAGTCATGTTTGTTTTATTATCGCTGGCCTTACTTGTTTCCGCCATTATTTGACACGGTGTCTTATAGAGTCTAGGATAGCGCTGGGAATCGAGGGACGCCCACATGCACGTTATGTGGTAATGGTAAGCACTAAGAAAATGGAGCAATAGATACGAAAACGTCATAGGAGATACCATAGTACTTAAGTAGAGGAATACGTTGGCCGCTTTGGCGGATTGACTTGTGTGCAATGTATAATATACCTTTTCTACACGGTGACTCACTTAAGTTGAATTTGTTGAAAGGAGCTCGCCGGATACTGAAGTTAACTTTTTATTGAGGTGCAAAGTTCACAGGGCTATAATCGACTGACGCTATATTGTGTCTTAATGTAGCCAGTAATTGCCCCTTTAGAATGCCCCATTTTAATTATTCATATCGCCAAGCATTCTTAAATGTCCATAAAACTTATATTTAATGTACAATTTTATTTTCTTTTTACAGAAATCCTTATAAAGGCCACACTTGTAGTACCTTGCAGTTCGTTATGTAATTGAAGTTTTCTCACATAATGCGGTGCCTTGTTTTTCAGTTACTAGCATCTGTGTCTGGCAATCAATCGAAAAGTGAACTAATTCTCTTTTAAGAACAAAGAACCCGCTTAGGGTGCGATTCAGTGAATTAAATTACAAATTCTAGCTAACATACACACTAAATATATGAGCGTATATTAATGAGAGTATTCCTCACTGTGATATTATACATCTAATAGAAGCGATCGCTCATTATTTTTTTAAAACAAAAAAGGACGTAAAACCAAATGTATGGCCCAGAATGGTTACTAGGTCTGCGACGGTGCCACCAAACACTGGCGGAAGAGTGGTCAGCTTGATGGGAAACTCTGTTATTCAGATAAGAGTATCAGAGGTCTTGACTATTCAGCATCGTAAACTTCCGCTTGTTTTCGAACTGTGTGTTTGGAAGAAGAACAGTACAGGACTAGCGTGAGTTTGCTTTCAACATACTACCTTTCATACCTACGGTTAGACGATGTCACATGCATCAGCCATGTAGAGTCACCGAATTCAGTATGTAAAAATAGGAAAAAAGACACGGAATCTAACAACCGATCGCTACGCAAACAAGCCGCAGAGGATCATACGGTCGAGGTGACGCCATCTGCTCATGAAAATAAAAACTCACATAAGTAAAAAAAAGTGCGGACGAAACAAACAGTACTGTCCTATGGTCAGCTTTTGGGAATAAATGTAGGTGGACTTTGTCTTGGACGTGCTTTCGACCAGAGGTGCAAGCTTACAGCCAGAAACCTGCAAGTCCGTATAATGAAGAGAGGCAATACCTATAGTCACTTGTACTATATTTCATATCCCACCAATCTAAGGGACTTAGCTGGTGCACAAAACGAACGAACCTCGTTCAAATGATTCTATACATCCGTCAGTCTTTACAGAGGTACAACTCATCAGGATTTATTAGGAATAACACTTGGCGGCCTATGCCAAATAAAGAAAAGCGAAATGTTTTACTTATGTCGTTAAAGGTAAAATAATGTAGAGTAACCTATCCAATATGAGGTCATCTGTTGCAGCCACAAGATCTAACCGAAAAGCGATTGAAATAAGGCCACAATAAAGGCGGTAGTCTCCCCATCGAAATTACGCGGGGAAAAATAAATAACTAAGCAGACGACAACGGCGTTGCTATTCGATCAGCTGTTCGCCTAGCGCAATCATGTCTAACACACGAGTTGGATAAAGAAGAGCAAAATGTTAAGGGCCGCACTGAACGTAAGTTTCGTCGATCACTTTACTGAATCATTGATCAAATCTGGAACACTGTGCCATCGTTCGGTAAAACGAGGGCAATAATACGGAAGCGGTTAAGCTGACGATTCGTTTGCAGGGTCCAGCACACAGTGTTACGTTACCGGTATTCGATTTTGTAATTGAAACATGGTGCAAAAAACAGAGGCCTATTACCAACCGTATTTCTTATAATTGCGCTTCATGTCATTTTGCAGGAAATATAAAGCTCTTATTGATTAATCAGTTTATTTCGCGCCCGTACTTTATCGATGACGATAGCCATTCGTTAGTTTTTTCTTTCAATAATTGTTAACTGCTAGAAATATCCATAGGATATGCAAGAACACCTAAGACTGTGGGTATAACCTCTCGGTTATGTATAGCAATTTTTTTTGCTGCTAATTAAACAAATAATTTGACTATAGAAGGATGACCTGCATTGTCTTCTTCAATTTAAATTTTGGACTCACACAGCATTCATTAACAATACATATATCACTGACATGATGTTTCCGTAAAATTAACATTACCTATAGGTTATGCACGGTATAGTCCATTATTTTTTTTTAAGATATTTGGACCAATGTATGACAAATGATCGCCATAGCGAGTCACTTTTAGAGTAAAAGTAACACTCAGCTGTAATATCTGTTATAATGGCTCGAACAGCAGTAAACTCTAACGCTGAAAAGGCCGATGGTCAACGAAAATTGATTCGATTACGACGACTGTAACTTAGTCCTTACAGGTCACCCAAAAAAGTCCGCAAACACCCTTGCACAGAGCAAGTTCGACTTTTCATAATTTTAAATTAAAATTATAATTATTCGCCCTATCCAAGGTACCCTGCCAAATTTCCACAGACCTTGCATATAATAAATTTCTTCCTATGAGTCAGCCATTTTGTTCATTCAAAACTTACCGGACATATATTTAATATTCGCTTTCATTGTTAATACCTGGTAGTCACCGGAAATCGTACGCCTTGGAAATGTTGCAGTACTTACGGCGGTTGGTAGTTGTATAGGCCTTCTATATATGCAAGAGCGGACCCGCAAGAAATTTAAGCAAAGCGAGTACTTTCAGGTACGAAAGAGCTTTTACTCGGTGCACTTACAAGATATTATTACAATTTTTTAGTTATAATAAGTTGCAAGAATAGCATCTACTTCCCTAGCCGAGTCAGTTAGCGATTTAGTGCATGTTTTCCGAGTGATTCCTACGTATAAAGAGACCTAGATGACCTACAGTTATTATCTAAAATTTTTTACAACTTTTCTAACCACGGTCGACCTGCAAAATAAGTTACTCGGATGATTTTACGCCAGCGAAGAACAATTTCACTGCTTCGATGAATCGGTATTTTTTTTTTGCCTTTTTTTAGGTCAGGTTTGTTTGTTTGAGATTCGTAATTTCTATACCGCTTGTTTTCAGAAAACTATGCGCGTTCTGCTGGAAAACCAAAGCGCAAGAACCCTACTAGGTGAACCAGTTATATTTGGCAACGTTAATCTATGTAGGTCGCCAGGTTCCGAGTAATGAAGCATACAATATTCTAGATATTCTCGTTGCTTCACAGCATCGCAAGCTGAACGGATCTATGAAACGCATATATTAATTTAAGTCCGTTCGCGATTTTTCAACGACGTAATCTAAACGTTGGAGAGTCGTCGCATCTACACGAAAAGATTCTTTGTTCCTGAAAGCAATAGTCAGTCATAAATAACGAGTAGCTCTCAATGGTCAGCAAAGGATAGCCTTGAACTGAGTCAAAATGCAAGGTCGATTCTAATTTTTGTGTTGCTGATCGTAGTCGTATGAAGCAGAGCTCTATGTCACAGACGTGCCTTTTGGCTCGATTACTATGTCTAATTGTAACGTTGTTTATGTATTTTTGACAATTCAGACGATCCTAATTTGTTTTATGTAACGGCCGAGAAGGCGAAACTCGTTATACCCGTCAGAGGTTCAAAGCGGAAAGGCGTAGTCTACTCTTGGTGTGTCCGACACGTAGCTCCGATGGTTTCTACAAGGAACAACAGTGACATGGAGGTAAGAGTTAGCAGTGAAAAGCAAAGGACACTTCCCTTTACTTTTTAGGTTGCGTTATGAACCATCATTGCGTACAAAAGCTCCTTAATGTGTTCTATTTATCCGTGAATTTAGACCAACTGCACCGACTCCCTGCTCATTTCGTGTTCATACGACATTAGACAACAACCTAATTTTTCATTGGATTTACAGTCACATCGGTTCTTCTCTGTAAGTAATTAAATCGTCGATTTGATTGCATTTTTCCAATTCGGTGAATATTTATTAACCACTTTCAAAAGTATGAAATCCAAATATCACTCTTGGAGACCATCATACTTTCTTGCCACCTTAATTCTAATTAGGCGGCACGGAGACCTGTGCGACACAACTTGGTAGATGTTTATGTAAAATTATGTTCAAGTTCATAGTTAATCTCAGTTTTATGTCTCTAACGGATTTTTCGTTGATGTGAATAACGGCCGAAAACGTTCCAAAGGCCGTAGCGAACACTGCACCGTTACTACCAAATGAAAAAACGTCAGTAGACAGCGAGGCTGGAGCAGTAACGCAGCTGGAAGAAAGCTCCGAAAAGAAGCTATCTCAATGGCGTGTGATGCGCGTTGAGATACTGCTTGAACAGGCAAAGGACAAAAGGCTGCTCGTGTACAAAACTCCAGAAGGAGACGAAAATTTTGTTGACACCTTTGATGACTTCAAACTATGCACTAGAGATTCAAAAGTCCTCAGAGGTTGAATCTCGCCGAAATCATACATAAGTTACATGAATGAATGAAATACTGCTGACACATGTATATTTAGAACGGTTCACAAAAAAAGTAGTCTTTGTATCTCGTACAGAACTTAGAGTTTGGATAAAAAAAAAAGCAGTTTTCGCATGTATTACTTTTATAACTATATTGTAGTAGCAGTGGCACAACTTAAGGAAATAATTACTTAAAGATAAAACTCTGCACATATGTTGTTACATGTATATATTATACGCAATGTTTTCGACGATAAAACTCCTCGATTTTATGTCCTATATCGTTATTCCAAACAGGATCAATATCGCCGTTATCGACTTTAGCGCAATAAACTAAAGGAAGGCCAAAGTAAAAATTGATTTTTATGTCTACTATACGTATTGGAATATGGAAATATCTATATTAATATGCTACAACGTTTTACACTGTTATTACTATCAGATTCACTGCATTTTCCCTTCTGTCAGTCTCGTTTGCTGGACTGTATATAGCATAGAGAAACGTCTCGAGTGAATGCTTTAACATAGTCAATAAATTATTTGTTACCATTTGTTTATTAACATTTATTGGTAACTTGTTATGGAACGGGGGGCGGGGGCACTTTGTCGCAGATAGGTGAAAAAAACGATCACCTTTGCAGATCTGGACTTGTTTTAAGAACTGACTTTAGGTTTGAACCACAACTTATCGAGACGAGGGCAATGGTATACCAACAAACTGCCTACGGTTTATAGATTCTGTTGTGTTAGTGATCGCTTCTAGTTGCCGATAGATTGGCTGAAGACGCTCTGCGCAGTGCAAGTTTTTATGCCTTTATTGCGTACTAGTCACTGTTGTTTGACCAATAGATACCCATAGTACAGGATAGTGATTAGTACGGAATGGCAGATATGAAAAGGCTATATGAAGAGCTTTAAAGAGCCCTTTGTCTTAGAATACATCCTTAGTCAGTAGGTCTAACACAAGTGTTATAATGATAGCTGTATTGTCGAAAATGTCGAAAAAAAAAATCGACAGCGTTATATAACTCACGCTTCTCAAAGTTACCGCCATTAGTTACTGCTAAATATATGCTTGCTTAGAAAAAAAAACTGTCTAACAGCATAACGTACTGTGTTTTATTTCCTAACTTCAGTTTAAGGCTCGATGGAGGAATCTGCCTCACCGTTGGTTGAACCCTAAAATAAATTGACCGCTCGAATCATTCTGTACCTTCAGCTCGCACGAGCCCACGGTCGTTGGTACCATTTCACATTAATCTGATTTACGCTATATCTCTATATACTATATATAGTAGCATGGATTCGGTCGTTTATAAATCTATCACAATAAATATATCTGGCAGCAAAGAAAAATGCTGAAATACTAATTATTATAATTGTCTTCCCAATGCATGTTTTGGCTGCGCGCGCATTAAAATTCACATCTATTTATGTATTCAGGCCTCAACACTATCAAAAAAAAGCAAAAAGAAGGATTTAACAGAAACTTTTAACATGTTCTACTCTACGTTTGACGCACCTGGAAACATAGCTTACAATCAGGAAATCATCGAAAGACGACATCAAATGGCATATTTTAGGAAGGAAAATGAAAGGACATGGTACCGGTCGGTCTCAGATTTGTTTTTGGGCGAAAATCCAATCCGAAGTCGCCGAAACAGCGTTGTTGTTATTACTGCTCAATGATCAAAAACCCCTCAGCGCTTTTTTTTTGTGATTGACATAGAGTAGTAGAACACACTGCCTGGTGCTGTGAAGATCAACTGACCATACGCCTCGTGACAGCTATTGATGCCCTAACCCCGAAGAAACCGAGTTGAACGAAACTAACACTAGGAACGATCGCCATTTCAATACTCAACAGCATATTTTTACTGCTATCTACTAATTTATTTCTGGGCTAGCAAAAAAGAATCTCATTTGCTCGTGTCGGAACAGCGACCTCTAGCGGTCAGATTTGCAGACACAAAGAACAGCTGAGAACGTCGTACAGTATTTTGACGCAAACGACGTCGACGAATTAAGAACACGTCAATTGACGCTCACCATTCTAATCTTTAAATTAGCAATTTTCTGTTGATATTCAGATGAATTTTTTCCAGCTAGCAATTTTAGTACGAAACGATTCGCGCAGTCGAAATGCCCGCGCAAACACTTTACAAAAATAAGTGCATTTTTTTTCTATCTGTGGCTATTATTCAAGTAATTTATTTTTGTTCAACAAATATGAATTGTTGTCATTATTACTGGTATTTCAGTAGTATAATTTGGCTTTTACAATAGTTATATCAATGTTTCGTTCTTTTAATGAGTTTTTTTAGTCATCTGTTGCTTCCGTTGTGCTTTATTAATATTTTACAGGAATAATTGGGAGATGTTTGTTGTCCTGAATTGTCCTAGATTTCCACCATGACTATTTAGAATTTATCTACACGTCTTCCTTCCTTTCGATGTACAACTGGGCAGAATCTGTAATCAACACACCCTGTCCTAGGCTCCGTCTGTTTTCGCTTCGTAGGCCTACTGTTTCAGGCCGTAAAATTATAAAATATTTTTCAGTTAATTCTACTGCTATGCTTCATTTTATCATTGTCATAATAATAACCCTCATTTCAGATGCGAGTGCTGTGGGTCATATGTGCCATTAATTCCACATTGAATTAATTCGACTAAGCCGATTTTGCTTCAGACACCACTTTCTATCGAGGTTTCATTCCTTAATTACGTCTACATTTACTAAGCCTAGAAAACAAAAGGTAAAAGGCTGAAAAATGTTTGCCATGTATAGACCAGCGGGATCGAATCTATTTTTCCATTTTTTTCTATCCAGAAGCCGAAGAGTTTCGTAAAATTGAATGAAAACATTATACGCTTTACAGAAAGACAAAAGCTTCAAAGGTGCAAATGCATTAATTTTTATAGGAAAAAAAATCTTTAAATCCATTTACAAATCAGTGAAAAACAAATTGACCTCACTTAGATAACTAAATAGGTAAATAATTCAGCCGAAAATCAATCGTGGTTAAAACGATAGCGATGTTTAAAGACGGTGATGACTCTTTAATGACTCTGCTCACGCAGAATCACCACTCGCTCTGTACTCTCTATTATCTTCTATACTATGCTATTTAATGACATCATCACAGCTAAAGTATGGCAATCAATGGTGCAGCCATATCATCCGACAATGGCTGGTTGAAGATCGTCATCAATTGACTCTGCTGAAGCAGATCCCCGTTATCGATGCTGCTTGCCGCAGTCCCGCTGACGCAGCCGACTCCAGTTAAATTTGCCGGTAAATTACCGACCTCAGGTTGACCCAGGTTTCCCCCACTTGCTGCCTCGGCGCAGCAGGGTGGAAAATTCAGTTGTTGCTGCTGATGCTGTGGTTGCTGGGGCTGATGAGCGAATTGGTTCTGTTCTTGTAACAACGACTGGAAATCACCAGGTTGTTGTTTCGAGGATGTAGACAGGTTTTGGCAGGCTGTTTGATGCTGCTGCTGCTGCTGCTGCAGCTGCTGAGTGGTGGGGGACGTCCCTGAATTCGGATTCTGATTCTGACTGTTGTTGTTACTACTACCACCACCAGCACAATGATGATGATGGTGATACTGGTGCTGTGCGGGGTGTGGATGTTGTTGTTGTTGTGGATGATGATGATGATTCATGTTGATGTTATTGTTCTGCAATGGCTGTCGTTGGGCCGGAGCTGTGCTGTGAGTGAAGTGCTGGCCATGTTGCTGTGGTGCCTGTGGCGGATGTTGCAGTTGTTCCTGGGGGCAAAACTGTTGCTGCTGTTGTTGATGCTGTTGGCTCGGGTGACTGCTGGAGCTAACTGTAGTCCCCGAGCTTCCGAGGTTCTGGGTTTGGCTCGGTGTTGGGTAGTGATGAAGGTGATGATGCTGTCGCAGCTTCTGCGTGACAGTCGCGGGCATGAGCAGTGGTTTAAGCGCAACAATAATTAGTTTTGCCGTTGTAGCCAAATGCTTGTTGACTAGACCGCCGATGAACTTGTCCCACACCTGTTAATCCACAGAGCGAGTAAACGAGCCAATGAAAAACGTGAAAAAGGAAAAAAAATCGTTATAAAATAGCGAAATACCAGCATCAGCAGTGTCAGTAGCACAACAAGTAGGCGGCTATGTAAATGAATGGAAAAGACCATATATGAATCGAGCCCTTCATCCCGTAGAACGCCTTCAGAGATTTACAACTAATGCAACATTTATATGTTGAGGAATTTTCAAAGCCCTTGACAAATGAAACTAACAGACTTATGTTCCGAAAATCGGTGAATATTGACAACAAATAACTATCAGAGAAGAAGTGACTTCGAATCCTCTATCTCGTTGTACTCGGTTTGTAAATAATTTTCCTCTTGTTGTTTCCTCCTAGAAAATAACAAAATAGGAGTTTTTGATGCAGAATTTATATAGAAAATGGTATAACTATTTTTTCGTGTGTCGCCGCTCCGATACGGCCACTTCTACAATTGATATGATACTATAATCAGCAACTTCATCGACGAGATCGCGTTTTTCGAGTCAGTCAGCTCTATAGAAAATCAATTATATATTTTGTGCAGATTCTATTTTGTTGTATACATTCTTACATAGCAATAATAATACCTTAAGTAGAGCGGCATCCGGCAGAACAGACGCAAACAGCGTATTAAACCACCGCTCGATTGGCAGTAGGACCATTGATCCTGTTGGTCCTTGTTGGTTTTTTCCACCGCCTGAATTGCTGCATCGACCGGTCAAGGTACTACTCATGATTCGCTCAAATAACGCCGGCTCGTCTTTTTCCAGCAAGATCCGAGTTTGGCTTATCTGAACGGTTTGATATATGCCGATTGCGGCGAGAACAATTAGGGAATATACATTTTCATTGCTCAGGTTAGAGTTAGCAAATATCCGTCAATATATGTCATGCTGGTGGACATAGCCCTGGATATCAGAAGCTCCCTCGTTCGTATAGCTATTGTTTATCCCCATTTATTACTTATGAGGTAATTCGCCAGCTTATCGTTTGCTTCTGTTAACTAGATTGAATCTAATCAATAAGGACAACCGATAAAGTGAGAATAAGCGTCACCGCAGCCGATACTGGATAGTAAAAACGGGTTAATTTTGCTAATATTGATTGGATATATACTGCCATATGAACACTATCTGGCTGCCTGCTCCGTTCGGCATTCGGGTTATCCATTCTGTACAGAAACGATACATTTGTTTTGTGGGCCGACATACCAGTTCTTTTGCGTCTATTTGAAGCGCGATCATATGGTTGTAAAAGTTTCTGGCAAGCCAATAGGCATCTTGCAATTTTGGAGCTACACGACACATCACGCCGAACATAAGCTGAAGATCACGTATCGCTGGGCTCGTCATCTGAGCAGTTGGGTCCAACTGGAGCTCGCCTCGTTCTAATAGGATCATCAACGTAACCTAATTAACATGTGAACAGGCAAAACGTGGCAAATATTATTCGCTTGGAAAGCATACTGTAAATGCATCAATCACATCGTCGATTTGTTTGCTAGCGGTACTTTATTTACACTTCGCAGACAAAACTACAATCATAAATAGTAATCACAAGCGTTCGATAAAATTAAAAACGCACTCAGTTATGTTAGTGTTAGAAACAAATATTGCTAGGCAAAAATTACGATACCTGAAGTAGGTTCAAAGGGTACAGTCCTTTATTTATTTAAAGAAATGACCCGACCTAGGTACACGACAGATTTGCTAGCCAGATAGGACAGGTCGAGGATGTACATTGTTCGAAAGAAAACAAGAGAGGCCAAATAACCTTTTTTCAACTAGATGTAAATCGTAGGCCGAAATGCTTTCCTAACACTAATGCCCTCGTACCTATTATAGATATTACGTGGGTCCACGCTAGGCTATTATCTTCTCGATATGACTGGATAGCGTATCTTTAGCTTAACTGAGTTCGTGTCAAGATGGCGAAACCAAATCTGCGATACATCGAAAAATCGCGCACACTTACGGTATCAGCTTTGCTCGAGTTTTTGTCAACCAGCCGCATAACTTGAAGAGTAGATTTTAGCTCTTCGAATTGACCCTTACGGTCCTCTTCGATTCCGGCTGCGATAGAAGTATCTGCTGGGGATACACCTAAATGAAGGTAGTCAGCGAGCGACAGTCAAGATAAGCGTGACAGCACTTTCAATGAACCAAAAACGTTCAGAATTTCCTGTTTATGTTAAATGTAAATACTTGAGACGTGATAAGGTCGCGTTTATGTTGTTCATTTTTTGTACCCGTTACCTATACCTATACAAGTAACCAGTGTAATCCTTTTTTCGATGTTATCATCGCGAACAAATGCGATGCTTCCCTCTGTGTTTATGATCGAAATCAAGACTACACACTACGCGTGTTTAGATTGTACGGTTAAGTTTCCAACTATGATCGTAGGTGATCGCAATATTCCACGTTGGCTGGGAGCAGATACCCGTACCAAGTATAAACTTCCATAGTCGTGTTCTGTGCGTGGGTGGAACCGAGATCCGCTGGAGGAGGCTGCATAGTTTCGAGATATCGATTGGATTTCGGGATAAAACAGCGTCGAGCACCTTTGTCTCACTCAAGTTGCATCTGAAGTTAATGTTGGAATAGAACGGGTTATATTAATTCAGCGCGCAATAGATACACTTTATTTAGTAACTGACATAATAGACAAAATTGCAAGCTTATATATGATTCAAAATACAAAACTATGTTATAGTTATTTTATCTAGTAATTCAATGATATATACATTTTTGTCACTCCCAATTTTACTATCTCTTATTTTTTTAATCACAACCCACATTATACTGGGGAAACTGCCCTGAAAATTATCGCAGCGCTATGCGATGCCATACTAAATTGTGCTCAGCTTAGCGGGACAGTGAAACAAACTTTTTGAAAGAAAGGTTTTATTAAAATCCATTACATTTCATAGTGTCTCAATAAGGGTCTATTTTTGGAAAAATTGGAACAAAATGTGTCGCCAAAGAAGATTCAAGGACACGAGAATCCAACTACGAAACAGACCAGTCGTTGTTACATCATTTCGGAACAAAGTAAATCTCTTTGGACTTCCATAAACAATAAGAAGCGCACAACGAGATACAAAGAACGATTTTTCTATATGTTTTTTTTTACAGCTCTCGATCGATAAATAAAATTGCAATAACCATTAGTGCACAGATAAGCACATCTTTACTATTCACGCCTGGCAAGATTTCTTAGCATCTCACAGTTTTTATAATAAGGGTGCTATATACTTTGAAGCTCGCAACATCCTTTGCTGCAGTAGCGTCTTTGTAGCTTCAATGAGTCATGTATGTACAGCTCCGATTACTGATTATCGAGCCTGTTCGTCCGCTCTATGAGTTTAAATCAGCCAGCTCAAACATTAGCGAAATCTGGCGTCAGATGGGTTGACCCTGGGTGCATGACCCAGAACCAGCCAATGACCACCAGGCACTAAACGCCTTGCTGCGACCAGCGATTGATCGATCTAGTAGTATTCGACTAAATTATTTTTAGCTCTCACTCTATGTTAATACATTTTATTTCGAACCGGATGGAGTACATGAACGCTATCGCCGTGATGTACGGACACATTTTGATGACCGAATGCTCCAAACGCATGGATTGAACGAACAAGTCTCGTAGAAATACTTCTCTTTTTTTATGCCATTAGACTTATTTGTACGAGGATTTTTTAAGGATAAAGAAAGTCTACATCGGACGGCCGACGCACTGCTTTGAAGTTTTATTTTTGAAATTAAGATCCTGATGCTATATAAACAAAAATTGATAATTTAAACCATGTTTATTTTCTTCAAAACACCCTATATATATATATATATATATATATATATATATATATATATATATATATACGAAATTATGTATGTCGTTAACGTGCCTATGACTATAGGAAAGTCGATTGATTTTTATGAGTTTATGCCACAAATAAGTCTAGTTTCGGGATGCATTCAGGTCTAATTATGGGCAAATCTATGTAGTGCATGGATGCATAGCGCCGGAACAGCGCGTCTATGTAGTGCTCCCATAGCTACATTTTACCACTTATAACATTTTCCGTGTTTCTCGATGTCTAGCTTATCATCGGCTCATATGAAATACCCCAAAATACCAGCAATGAAAAAGCATCATAATGTTTTATGGTCGAGTAAAATGTCCTCAATCGCGTTTTTCTTTATTTTTTTAAAAACTGTCCTATATAAGTTAGCATATACCATTGCCGTCGCGCATATATGAAATCGTTTACATTAACATTACGGAAACCACCTAAGGGAGTTTTTGACGGCTAGGAGGCTTTGTTACTGGAATGGCTTGTGGAAGTCTGACTATTATATATTTCATCTTTAAACATTCAACGTCGGAGTGAGCGGGGCACACAGATCCTTCATCCCGTTGGAGCACTTCTGCTAGGAACAGGCAAACCAGATTTTTGGCCAAGTAGGGTGTTTAGCAAGACGGAGGGTTCCTTTCCAATATACCCAATTCAATGGATATTTGAAAAATAATCTATGGACTGAGCTCTACTATTTAAATAATGCCATTAAAATCAAACATTGAGCAAAAACTATCGGATTGCGAAATTATCGAACCCTCAAAACGAATACTGTAGATTCGCTTGGAATCGCAAATATTGGTAACATTTTCCTCAATCTTCTGTAGAAAGGTTAAATATGCACCATATTTTAAAAAAAGATTATAACTTTTATTGAGACCTTTTGTTCAATGAAATGTATATATATATATATATATATATATATGTGAGTGAAGAAATCAAAGCGCGTATGTCGCCGCGTTATGGCAGCAGAAAAAAAAGGATAATTTTCCCAGTTGATCTGATTAACGTTAACTAGTCAATGAGCTTCACCCGAATTTATTAACGGCCATAAATCGCTTGAAAAATAGTAGGCGAGGGTGATTTGCATTTTACATATAACGCTCTTCAGCTGCTGTTGACAAAGCAATCAGATGGAAGATAAGTGTACCAGTAGACTTAAAAACGTTATTTTACAACTAACGAGTGCATTCATGCATTTCGGTCGAAAGCAGGACAGAATGTCAATTCTGCACAGGGCCTGGCACGTACTTTGTGACACAAACACGTTTCAGAAAATACTTCAAGATGCGGTGTTCGTCCCAGAAGAAGAAGAGGTGCCAGAATAAACACCGAAATCCCCCAGTGAAGGTCACTTGGGGAAACCGACTTAGTATAGCATTTCTTGGTCTTTTCCAAAGGACATAGCTACTTTTTACGCCTTCCATGTTGATTCTTTACGTTTTGTTTGCTCCTTATCTAAGCATACGCCATAGGACAAACACATCTAACCAATTTATATCAATTATGCAGAACATTAATTTTATTCATCAGAAAAACTGTCGGTTCCTCTGTTTTTGTTCTTTTTCATATAACATATATATAATTGAATTAGAATATTTTTATACTGTCAAAGGGAGGAGTAGTTACGATAAGCGAATTCGACTTAAAAACCTAATTACTTGTGCAATAATAAGTATATTTAACTTTTTCTCTATCCAGTTTTTAAGCAAACATTATAGCCGTTTCAACAAGCTAAATAATATCTCAGCATGGCATTTATATTGTGTTGAGCAAAAAGTCCTTCTTCTCACGTCTACTGCTTTAGCATATTCATTAGCGGATTCCATACATTTTTTAAACATAGCTGTAATGATAGATTGCATCTAAAAATATCAGGCACAGAATTTTCAATGAAAAAAATGCTCTGTTCTTGTAAAATATAGTTAATAGCCCAACTAAACTTAGTTCGTAATTGCCTCAAGTTTTTTTTACAAATCAACCCAGCAAAAAATAGGAGAGAGCCCAGCATGCGAATTAAAAACAGTCGAAAATAAACGCTTTTCTAGTTGCTAATCAAATTGTTCATACCAGAAACGTTACCTATACTGAAAATCTGTAAGTGCATCCGGAATGGATGCCCGTTATTAGATGCCCTGTTCAGTCTATTCCGCAGTGCTTCGCGATCAAGCACGTAAAGTTGCTCATCATTACAGCGTTTTCAGATCATTAGAGAAGCTTGTTAATTTACTGCTCGTTTTCTGTATGTCTGTCAGCCCAATCAAGCGTATTGAAGACGGAAGTCAAGCCCACGGCAGCGACAATGCTGAGTAAGAATTGATTTTATCTTCACTGCATGATCACGTCACGTTTTCGTGATATTACAATAACAACGACAAAAGAGAAACAAATCAAATTGCAGTTATCCGATGGGTAAACACGTTTACGCCCATTTTGAGAAACCACCAATTTTTTATGCTATAGAGGTACGTATTAATTGAATTCCTGTTAAATTGATAGCAGATCTACTTTTCACAATAACTATATAAAATAGTACGATCAATCAAGGTGTATATATTTTCTGGTATGTACATGTATTTCTTGTGGACAAGTTGTTGTTGTATACTTTAGGACTTTACGCACGCGTCTATCGCCTAATAAACATTGGTACACAAACGAATCTAATCAATGCGATCTATTCATCTACATCTTTCGTAGTTATGTTCATTGTGTGACCTTATTTTTTTTATTAGTCCGCCACAGAACAAACACTGTTGTTTAGTAGAAACAATTCTTTTATAAGCCGAGTATTGAATGTTGTTAAAAAGTACGCGCGCACAACTTAGAGTAGTTCAATTTGCCTTAGTTAGAACTGGATTTAGATTTATTCATCAAGAAACAGTGGTAATCGTTATACTGCCCATATTTACTCCTCACAGACAGTCTACATCTTTTGACTATTTTCAGAGCTCGCGACAATGGAGCTCTGTTAGCACCGAAATTTTGTCGTGTCTCTAACCTCTCCTTGATTTTGACGTAACGATGTTTTCGTTCGTTTTGCTTGTTCAGTTTGCCTCCAGCTGATGCAGTCTTTCTCCATCTTCCTTGTTCTATGTCATCAGCATTTCTAGTTCTGTTTAAACCTAGAAACAAGTGATCCATGAACCGCTTGCCCGCCCCTTCAACCCATGTCGCCACTGACTTGTCCACCTTTTGTAAGCCCATATGCATAAATCTATTAATTCGTATACGGGTTTACGTAAACGCGACACACTAATACAATGACACCCAGCCGCCGCCAACAAATAGCCAAAATAGATGCGACGAGACGGAGCCAGCGATCTCCGAATGAGCGTAGAATCGTTTTCATTCATTCCATTGGCGCTGCGGTGGCAGCAAGAGCAGTCAGATGTCTCGATAGGAAACGACGTCAAAAACCCTTTCCTTCTTTCTTTTGCTCTCTCTCTTTTTCTACCTCACTTGACATATACAAACAACAAAATAACACGGCACACTCAAAGGGGCTCAAACAGACGCACAAACGGACAGACAGAGGAGAAAAATAAACGTACGCCGATACAACTACGTATCCCGCTTTCCCGGGCCTTTGGGAAAAGCGTTGTTACGCTGAACGCAAAAGTTATCTAAGCGTCTAGAAAAAAAACAGAAAGACAAAATTGATTTACCTCGACGATTTCTCGCGAGCTCACTCACTTGATAAAGGCACACTCACCTGATACCGGCCTTATCATAGTAAGATGATCGGAAGTTGCTTCCCGAATCCGAACCGCCTGCCATGACGAATCGTCGTTATTTCACTAATGCTACCGGTGGTAATTTCCTGTGGAGGCCGTAGAACTGGTATGGATCGACTCCGTTATCCTATGAAAAGTTATGTGAGCGTAGCTGGCGAGAAGCATACGGCTGATTTCTTGTATATCCGTCGTGTTTTTTTCCTTTAGAGCTTGTTATAGCCCATTTTCTAGGTGCGTCATTTGGAACTGCTGCTGCTGCTGCTGTTGTTGTTGTCGTCGTCGTCGTCGAACATGTCACGCTTTATCGTTATCGTCGCTGCTCCCGTTCGTTCTATTTTCATTTTTCGTGCCAACTATGCGTTATCTCAGCTTTCTAGCTTATATGTGTCGATATATGCGGTCGTTGCAAAACACTAGCGGAAATTTTGCTCGATCGTGGGACTCGTTTTCAACCAGTAGTTACGTGCTAGGCTAACAGTCTTAGTAAAGCATTATCTGATAACAATTAAATTGATTAGAGAAAGCTGTCCGACCACTGCTACTACTGATCATGACGAACTACTCTTTGTTCTTTGTGGAGGATTCAATGGCCTTTGAGCCTGTTGCTTCTGCTACTGCAGCTGCTCTTCTAATAACCACCACAACTGGTGCTGATAATTGTACTGTTGTTCCTGTAGTTCCGTTTAATATTTTTTTGTTGTACGTTCTCCGTGCAGTTCGTAAGCAGCAGAGGCTATCACCGCAGTCCTTCGTCGAATCTGTTCAACATTGAAACGGCCATTTTCTTTGGCGGTTACCCCTTCTATTTCATTGTTATTAATAATTCCTTTACTGCTGCTGCTGCCGCCACTATTACAGCCAATCGTACGCGTTCTATTTTTGCCCCCTTTCTATTCAGTCGGTGTCGTTCCGGTATTGTACCGCCCTTTGACCATTATGGTGGGTATGCTTTCGTACTTTCTCGTTATTTGAGTTTGGGTTAGGTTTCGTAGCTGTTCAATCAGGGACAGATAATTCGTTCGTATTGTTACTTATATTGTTGTTAGCGTTCGCCAGTCAAAGCGGGAGCTCTTCAGAAACACTGTGCATGCACGCACCGAGGGACCCGGCACACTGCGACTCTAACTCAATCGTTTCGTAACAACATGTCGTTTTGTTGACCCTGTACTATTCTACGAATCGCTGCCTCCGCAGGTAATCACTGTTCACTGTTTAAGTTTAGTCATTAACGAACCTAGCCAATCAGGCGGTCCGTTATATACCGCAGTACTCTCTAAAACTATCAGACCACTCTCACTGTGTGCTTCTCATCCGATCTGCACTATTCGACGGTGTACCGTCTAGCTGATAACAGTCCGTTGAATAAAGAAGCAGGAAGTCAGCCAGGACAAGCAGTTAGAGCCAAACACCATTGGCTGGTCAGCCCGTCGTTCAACCATCCACGCGTTGCCCGTCACGCCAGCTCAGCCATCTGCTGCGGCAGCATCATTCCAGCTTCCCAGCGAATTTGCGTCCGACTATTCTACAGCTGCTGGAAATCTATATTATTATATATCAAAAGCCGTCTAGAGCTAAACATAGCCTACGAGCCGCTGTTCGCTGTCGCTGCAGCCCTAAGGACCGCGTATCAGCAGCGGCTTTGACGGCAACCGCAGCCGGGGCTGTAGACGGCGACTTGTGGCGGCGGTAGTAATAACGGCGCGCTGCCGTTCTGTTGCAGTGCGTGGCCGCCACGATGATTAGCGCAGCGTGATTGGCGCTGCTGCTTCCTTTAGTTCTCTCTCGGTTTCTGTGTGATCACCAGCAGCGCCTCCATCAGCGGCCTGACGTCAGCCGTCGATCAACAGCACCAGTGTTACCGCTGCCCGGAGCTGGTCAGTACCGGCTTTGCCAACAACTTAACAGCCGTGCGACTATTAACGTTCTGCAGGCCTGCAAATAAATAGTGTCCTACTGGAGTGGCATACCACAGCGACGGCCGAGAAGTCAATAACAACAACAACAGCAGCAGCAGCAGCAGCGGCAGCGGCGAGAACAACAGCCACTGCCGCTGCTATTTCCATCAGCGCTAAGAACAACAATAGCGAAATCACAACAACGACAGTGGCAACAATGACCACAATGACGACGTTAACATATCTGTGAATTTGTTAGTAATCAACAAAATTCGCAGGGGTACTCCCCATAGTCGCAGTGTTATTTTCCTTGTACGTAAAAGAACGTATTGTGGATGATCGTAGGAAGTCGTGAACTTTTCGCCTGTCGATCACCAAACGTCACCCGAGCGAAGCTTTGATAACGTCAGCGGGCACAGCGGCGAGTTCGATATCGCTCCTTTTCGAACAGATCGAGCTGGCTAGCTCCTCCGTTATACGTTCTGGTCAACGACGATCCTCACTCAGTGTGCATACAAGGATGTGCTGATGACACTCTGCTATATAGAACCAAATGCCAGATATAGAATGACAACACCAACACAAGAAACGTAGATTGATACGGTTATATATATGTATAGCATAACAACAATATCAATCAAAACGATGTGGATACTAATAATAATCTGTAAGCAACAATAAAGCAGCAATCAATTGTATTATCATCGACTTAACCCGCATCTACGCTAATCATCGGCGGCATCAAGTACCGCTGTTCCAACGACAACTTTGCCATATATATATATGTATACCATCTGATCACCACACATAGAGCTGGCATCGAAACACTTGACCCGTGTCCGTCGTCACTAACGAGCAGCAGTCCTTCTACATAATTATATCTATAAATCATAATAAGTTATCAGACGAAGATGAGAAGAAACTGCAGCACAAGCATATTTACGCGATCATTCAGGCTCAACAGTAGGCTCCAGGTTATCGATTTCGTTGCAACTTGTTTTGCAGCTCGTTTGTTTGGCCGACCACTGATCTTTTCCTGACACAGTCGAACAACAATAACAACAACAATTTGAAACAAAATACTTAGCCAGTAATAGTGACAAAGTTCGCATACAACATGAGCAAATTCAAGTCGTATTGTAAAACCAGCCACTATAGGCGGCAACACAGCGACCAGCTGCGCGAACACCAACGGATGAACGGTCAGCCAGCTGAAGCACCTAAAGTTTACGCGACGGGCTAGGTCGACCGGTTGTGTGCAAAACCCTCAGTAGTCATTCGCAACTCGCGTTCCGACCAATTTCGAGTTCAAAGACTTTTTAACGACATCGGGATACGACGCTGTGCTCGACGCTGTTGTGTATCACTGCGTGAGCTGATCACGCGTAAGCCTAGCTCGCACCGTGCAATGCTCGTCCTTGATCGCCGGGGAAAGCTAAATTTGCACTATCCTCTTAGCTGTTGACTTCAATGCCTTTCCGAGCACCTTTCTTTTGTTATTTTTCCTTTTTTTTGTTATTGTAGCGGCAGCAATCACCAACCAACCGAAATGGCTCGGGACTAACGGTGAGACAACGAACTGACTTATACTGCTATGAGCTACTGCACTTTGTCCTTTTCTCCAAGTCTCAAACCATATTGCCCTTATAAAATAGTAATTATATTAATAATAGTAATACAGTATCCTGTTATGATACGAATGTTACCGGCGTTCAGCGGTTAGCATCGGTCAGACGCGCAGGAAGCGTGAAGCGGGTCCAGCGCGCAATATAACACAGTAGTTCTTGTTAACGTTGATGTTATTGTTGTTTCACTTGCCGTCCGGGGTCAGCGGCCCAAGTAAACAGATAAATCTTCGCCCAGTGGTTGACGTACCATGTACTGCTATCATCAACAGCGCCATTTTGACAGCCAATTGCTTGCAGTCAAACTTGCTGTGATTCCAGTGCCTCTCAAGGCGCTTGTGAAGTAGTCACTGTTACAGAGCAGCAGCCGCAGTTTCTGTGCTAGCAGGAACCGGGACGCCGCGATCCTCTATGCACAACCGCGTGTCGCTCGTCTTTTTGTCAATGCACCTTTTTATGTCGTTGCCGGCTGACAGGCCAGGTCTTTCCGTTGGCTGTGGGCGCTGCCGTGATCGCCTAAGGCAATAGCAGTAGCAGAAACAGCGACAACGATAAACGGCCACCAACGGTTAAGACAAGGGAAAAACAATAACACGCGAGAGTACAATGTTTTTTTAGCGCATACACACTACGCATCGTTGAAAGGATCTAGCTATACTAATGGGGTGTTCATTACTATTGAGCTTCAGACCAATTCTGGCCGTCACCGATTTCCTGGCCGAAGTAACAACAAACGGGCGGATGGGGTGGTGTCCCTTCCATAATATCTCTCCGATCTGGACAACAAAACAGGAAAGGACCCACAGCACGAAGGCTAAATACTGCGATTGCAACGAACCAAGTGAAACGATCCAGTAAACAATTGAACACGAACCCTCTTCATCCTTGCGTATGTCACTCTCGACAACCCGAATGTGTGAGCGACGACAAAGCGTTCGTCGTCGACAACACGCACTGCCAATGGCTTGAAGCTGTGTCCATTGATCTGTCTGCATATCTCTGCCGAACACTAATAACTTAAGGGGAAAAAGCACCAGCTAATTAGTTCGTTTTACCAAGAGCTCCAGTAAGTTGAAGAAACGTCTAAGTTGTTGTTGTCGTTGTCGTTAATCTGGCGCGAGTAACGCGGGCGATCCGTGCGCTCCATCCGCCGATCATCGAAATGACTCCACAGAACAGAATAGAATAGACGAGTCAGCAAGAACAGCTCCGACATAACAGGAGCGGCACTTCCAATGTTACTTTGTTAGTCGACTTTCATTACTACTGCAGATGCTGCTGCTGCTGCTCAAAACGCGCCAGGTACTACAGCTACTGCTACGGCGAGTACGAGGACGGCAGCTTCGGATGCTCTTCGGACTTTTGTTTATTGACGCCGCTGCGGCTGTCGTGCGCCTCGCTTCGTTGCTGTTGCTGTCATTTAGCACAAGGCAACAAAAGCAGCAGCAACACGATCGAGAGCGTGGTGGCTGAGTGACTGGACAAAGGAAGAAACGCTGTGGGCTGACCGGAGCCGGCCGGCCGTATCCGCCCGTGCTGCTACCACCCAATCGCCTTCGCCTCGGTGGAGGAGCGACTGGTCTTCTCTAGTAATCGAAGAAGTGTGGTCGGTAAAGATCATCGTCGACAGCGACAGCAAAATAGGTAGATACAGACCAAGAGACTGACAGTCTGGTGAATAGATCAGTTGACGAACATGAGGATTACAGGTAAATGTGTGAATTGACAAGCTAATCGCCGGTTGGTCGCTAGCAGACGACACTGTTGTTGTTATAGGTTTACTAACGAACGAGAAAGGGGACCATGGCTCGTTACCATAAGTGGAAAGGGAGTCAGCAGCAAAATGTCGACGAGAACGATCATGACCATTATGAGTGTTTACACACTCAAAAATATCATCTGTTCGTGCTTGGTGGCCATCTGCGCAATCGCGAGTTCGCGAAGGAAGAGACGTCGAAAAGAATCATTCGCACTCCTGGCTGAAGGCCCCGACAACCCTCGCATCGAGGCCTCTATGTCTGAGGAATCTATAAACCTATGCAAGATTAAATTACAGAGGGATATCGTATCGGGAAAACAGCGAAGAGAGCTGGAGCTCTAGAGAAATCTCTTATTTCGTATCTCCCTTTAGAACGGGAATGCATTTTTGTTGTTGTTATTAGTGTTCCTGTTGATGTTTTTTTTTTTGTAAGCTCATGCATGTTCGACAAAAAAAATCACTAGGGTGTTGATTAATTGGTGCTGGATTACCATAAAGGCCTAAATTCGTGGGTGAGATCTGGACAAAAATTCCGAAAGGTCCGTGAGTGAGAAAAAAACGGGGTCGAAACAAAAAAAAAGCAGCGCGAGCCGGTGAAGGTAAAACTAAGTGGGTATGCTTTTTAAATTTTGAGTAGAAAACACCTATCGGTCCACTGTAGATGGCTGGGCTTAAGCTGCCGATATTTGCGGTGGGTCGTATAATCCGATAGCGTAGGAGAGGGTTGACATTCTGTGAGTTAACCTTTGAGGTTAGAGTGGCCTCTGGGATGACTAGGGAAAGGCTGAAACTAGCCTGTGTCATATACTGGTAGAGGGACGCGTGTACTGGATATCGTTTCGATAAGTAGCTACAGTCGGTTCAGACAGATTCGGAAGAGTACGTCTACCTAGGTTTGCATTAGAGGCGTTTAATGGTAAACTCTTGGCAGGAGGTTGAAATAAATATAAGATAAGCGTAGATATGGAGTTATCGTGATGTGCGCATTTGTACTCCCAAAACGAAGTTTTTGTAGACGGAATTGACGTGTCGTGCATATTATCACTGGACTGGAGAACTAGAATACTCATTAAGAGGTTGTCGTCCAGTAATAACTATAATGAACCAAAATAGCACTTGGATTAGCTTTGAACAAAGAAAATGAAATGGGATCTGAGATCTGACGCAAAAGTACTATGAAAAGGACGACAGACCTAAGCGTTTGAGGACGGTACTGTTGTCAATTTTAACTAACATTTTAGTCATAAATTAAAAGTGGTACCAGTGTGCAACGAGCCGTATGATATCTACCATATATATTGAGATAGCTTCCATAAAAAACTGGCAACTTTTACTTCATTCTGATCGTGTTGTTAGACTGTAAATTTGCTCGTAATCAGAATAACGCACGCTACCTGCGAGCGCACAAGCCTGTATATGTAGAATGCTTAACTATTACCTGCAAAAATGTAAAAATTCAATGAACATTAATCAATATTGGCGTACCAGTAGCTACAAAAGAGACTTATTTAGTAAAAAATAAATATAACCAGTTATAAACATTACTTATTCAATATACTTAGATGTGTATTTCAAAAAAGAGTACTTATATCAACAATTTGTGTTGGCGTGATGGGGGCCTTCAGTTGAGCTATATTTGAGAGACCAATGCTTAACTTTAAAGATCTCACAATTGTCTATGCAACTGAGACATTTTAAATCTTTATTAAGTAAATTTGGTATGATAGAAATAAAGCTTGAAACGATTTTGCCGTTTTGGCTGAATCGAAACCATCTGTTCTTTTAAAACAAACACTGCACAAACACAAAATCCATTCATAATTTGCTTAAGTACAATTAACATATAATTAAACTAGAAATATAATTTGTGTTTAAGTAACGGAGAAGCATCTCTCAAGTATCAAGGTGACAGGTCGGTTACTTACTGCTATTTTCGTGATGACTATATATATTCTATAGAGCTCGATCCCAGTCATTAGGAATATTTCGCTACAGGTAATATCTAATCATAATATCTGGGTACGTTTGCTGACAACAGAGTGACGCATGGGTAGTGAACAGCGGATAATAATATCTAGTAATACATATCTATAGTCATTCACTGGCAAGTTAGGCAGATTAAAGATAATGGTTCGTCTGCTATACTCGTCTATATGAAATTCTGCTGGGCGATTAATGCGCATTTGAGCGCATTGCAATAAGGCCATAGTTAACGAAAATGCTACCATGTTGGTTCAAATCTCGTCCTTCGCAAACATCAATTAAGCCAACGTTAGAGTTTTATAAAGCAAAACATACTTTACTGTATTCGCTGTTAATCCAAATTCAAATACAACGATAAAATCATAATTTAACGTATAACAACATAATTTTGTATACTGAACAGTACTTGAATGGATAGGTAATGTCAGTGCGGCTTATTAGATTGCAATGGGTAACCCAAATTGAACGCATGTAGTACAAGGACATAGAAACAGGCCCGAGCTTGGCGTATAACGTGGCCTTGGTAAGAACCACGGTTCGTCACCCAAACCAATAAGCAAGTGATATCTGAAAGCCCATAGCAAGACTGATTGTTAAAAAGTCAGCTAATACTTCGAATATACAGGGAACGCATTCTAATTGTTTACTTATATCATTAGACATATTTAGAAATAATTAGAAAAAAAAAAAATATATATATATATATATTCCAGTGATTTCCGGTCATAATAAGAAATGAAGTTACCAATTAACAACGGCGCGGTTAAATGAAAAAAAAACAAATAAAAACAAACATTTTAAGATTCAACCAATGTTATACGTAGGGTTAGTTTGGTTTGTTTATGGTTATTTTAATTAGATAATTTGTTATTGGTGCATAATAAAGCAGTAACTGTATGTAGAATTCACGAATATCTTTTAGAATTAGATATGCCGAAAGTGATTAGAAAGTCGCTTTTACCTTATAAACAAGTGAGTTGAAAGTTTTATGTATATTCAGTCAACACCTATATGTTCTTCTTTGCCCATAACATTCTACGGGTTTGGTGGCTTTCTAGGTATAGCTAGCTAGAACACTCGTTAGATAGATTAGATAAAGCAAAAGGATGTTCATACAAGCGTTCCGTCTACCTGTCGACCTCGCACGTACAGAACACGTTTGTAATCACCCTGTATACTGAATGAGCCCACATTTGTCGTTTGCATCATCTCATAGAGCAGACGCATTTCGAAATTTGGCGCCATTTTCTCTCTTAACACCGGTTGACAGTGATCGCCCCTTACCGCCGCCACGTCGTTGTACAGCTGGGTGAACAGAACCGATCCTGCCGTTGTTGAGAGAGGAAACTTTGTGCCCGCTCGACGTTATTTCTTTTTGAATCCACCTCGTTCGTATAAAGTCCTTTTCGCTCTCAACCGCTCTTTGAACACAGTGAGTGCCTAGTGTCACTGCTCATCGCCAACAAAATCACTCGAATCCCCCAATTTCCTAGTAATCTCTGTCAGCAAATTGAGTGCGTTCTTCCTGTCACTCCGGACTACTGTGAACTAGAAGTTGCATAGATTTTCGCTGTGTTCGTTAATCTTTGTCGTCGTCATCATCATCATCACCGTCACCATACATGTAAGTGTTAGCTACCAGCAACTAAACGACGAGAAAAAGCTACTGAAGTTGAGGCGCGAATAAGTTCCAGTTTTGCCACCCCGTCCTACCGGTCGACAGAATACACCGTAGATTCCACCCATATGGACAAGTTCTTTTCGGTGACACTCACCACGATTTGCGGTGTAGCTGGCACTCCAGTAGCAGGTGTTGGCTGTTTGGCGTTTAGCTCCGACATTTTAGCTGCCGTTTTTAGTCCCCGAGTTGAAACAGCTGGTTAGCGCTAATTCCGCGCCTTGGGAAGAAGACAGGACAGAGTATAAATGGCGGTAATATTGAACGTGTGTTTCATCACAGTAAGCAGAAATCAATGGAGAACGGAGCCGCTAAGAATGTGATGCCATGAAGACATTTTCGAAGCTGCTCTGTTATGGATGCTGGATTATAGCCATGAGACTAACCAAAACATTTTAAAAGCATGCTGATTTGCGCTAGCTGGAAAGCGGATTCTTAGCATTTAACCTTTGTAAAATGCAAATCCTCTGATGCTTCGCTTAATGGTGTTCATTGATTCTGAATTTCGTTGACACTTCGTGCGATCACTGCAGCATCTAAGAGTAGAATTAGTAGGGTAAAGCTATAACAAAATAAGAACTCTTCCACATCTTCAATTAAATTCGGCAAATTATTCACTTAGTATTTATTCGTATTGGATACTTTTTTTTAATATTTAAAGATTTTCACATTAAATGTTCACCTCTGTAGGTTATTGCCGCCAATGTAATTTGCGAATTTTTCTTTCTTTGTGCTGACCTTTAGAATCTGGCTGCATCAATCAATCAATCGCGTGTGCAATCTGCTTAGCCAAAGGTGCGGATCGGCTAAATTGTATTAATACAGAATACAGGTTTTTGGTCGGTTAGGAAAGGTTCAATATGGGTCAGCATGAAAGATGTCGACATGTGCCGCACCATGGGCCGATCCTATTCAATTGCAACGGCGCTGGCAGCTACGTCCGGCAGATGTTTTTTTGGCGATGTTCTCTGTAATATATTGTGAGTGAGCTTGCTAGTTGAGCCATAGCTCGTGGCTTGGCTGGCTTGGTCTATGACTGTTGTTATTATTGGTGTCAAGCACAGCCGTCAGCATCTGTTATGCCGTTAAAATGCCGTTAACAGCCGATAAAGCAGAAAATTTCTGTGCGCTCTTGAAGGCATCAGTGATACTGGAATTCGCTTGACACCAACGAGACAGGATTCTAGCTGAATGCCCGGCTTGTTCACGGGCTAGAGAGACAGAACTATAAAGCCATAAGGTCGTTCGTTGCGGGATACCGTTAGAAGGGTGTCACAGAACCCCTTGAAATGAAGTCAAAGGAAAGACGATGACTTTTGCAGAAGATGATGGAACGGCAGTCAACTTCGGTGTCAGTAGCAGCAGCAGCAATCTGAACTGGGTTTTCTGCCAATCTGGCCCAAAGCGCAGGATAACACTAAAAATAAATACGTGGAGATACTGCTCCAGCCCAGTAAAGAGGAAATAGTATTACGTTGATGAGTAGCAATGAACGTCATTGTTATTAATAACTGCTAGGTGGGCTACTACTAATAGCTACTGGAAATGCACTTATATGCGACGGTTTTCACAGCAAAAACGATGAAGATTATAGTCACATCTTATGATTTCAAATTAATGAGATCAGTTCATCATATTGATAAGTTATGGAGAGGTATTTGACGTGTGACGGTGTCGATTATCCATAGTAGTTTTAAGACGGTCCATGGAGCCGCCGTCGATGTTGCCCCAACAAAAGGTAGCAGATATGTCGTACTGAGCGAAAATAATTCCGAAGGGTTAAATGCTGTCTCGAATATCAAGAACTGATGGTATCATAATTGATGTCACCTGAAAGACGATAAGTTTTCAACGACAATGAAAACGTTCATTCAGTGATTTCATGAATTGAAATCGTTTTCTGCATGAGTACAAATCACACCGAGCGATCGGCGCTAAAGGCAAATCATGGGAAATGCCTCTGGCTGAGATCACTAGTCGATACTCGTGAGAAAGTGGTAGGAAGTGGGCAAAAGCAATTGATGACTGTTTCGCCAAACTCGTGTCCGTACCAGCTGTAATCATTATACTTGTAGGAAATAAGTAGTATTTAGTTATGATAACCCTTACAATTACCCTGATTTTGTTGATAGTACAACTGATAGTTAAATATAAGTAATGCGATGTGTTTATGACGTATGCGATTGTAGAGATACCTGGTACTCATTGGTACTTTAAAATTGTCCTAGTTTCCTGCCTCTATTCTAGTTACGTGCAGCCTATGTCTCAATAGGTGTGCTGCTGAGACCCAGCATTCAATTGCGGGTTGCTTGTCATCTCTGGATTGACCGTATCTCAAGGCCATGATCGTTGTGTTTACACAACATGAAACGCTTCACGTGAATACCGATAGAAACCTCAGAGCAACAAAAATACGTCAGCTTCTTTTGATGGTCGCAAGTTAAAAACGTTTGACTAAATCTAAGATCTAGCTATGCGGAATTTCGTTTTGAGGCGTGTGAACGCTCTACTTGTAGTCAGTTCACCTGCCGACGAAGGAGTGTTTGAATGGGTGCTCTACTTGAAATTGTTCAAGTTTTGCATCTTAAATCGAAATAAAAATAGCTCAAACATAACGGTAATGGCGCTAAATTTTTTCCGCTAAGTCCAGACTTTTTCAATTAGTCAGCAGCTGGTCCAGTTGTAATCGATGCATAGCTTGTTGATAAGCAGAGATCTGACCAGTCAAGTAATGCATGTTTTATATAATGTAGATTGTTATTTTCGCAGAAGAATAAAATTTTCCGATTAATTTTATGATTCTCTGTCTTATTTAAAACTCACTGCCTCTACCTTGCGCAACGTTTTACTCAGTGAATCTGGAATCTGCTCGTTGTAGAAGCATAGAAGTCTTCTTCAGGTTTGCCATTAATTTAACCATTGGCTACCCCAGAAGTACTTAATCAGTCGGAAAACATAAAACACGATATATTCAAGCAAGACTTCAATTGCATGAATTCTTAAATGTATGCTAAATTGTTACAAGTATCGATGTACTATTATGCCTAAGTTCACCTAGAAAACGTGAGCTTTCATAAAAACCGCAATCGTTAAGCTAATACATTTAGGGAATCAGAGTACGTTTTAGTAATATCTGTGTACTGCAGGAATTCGCAGATTAAGTAAAGACTCGGCATACTCAAGGCAGGACACACGTAAAAACGTATACACGTTTTTTTTTAATCCGCGCCTTACAGGAACTTGAAATTTACAACAGTTGAACGTTTTGAGGCTAGTAATATCTACACGACCCGTTCTCTCACGAGCTAACTTAGAGCAAGTGTGAGCAGAATTGAAACTGTTTTATCAAGTTACCTTTTAGTACGTTCTATTATTAGCAAAGCTATGCCATGGTTATGGAACCTCTCTCTAAGGTGGGTTTGCAAGCAATGGCTACTCACGTACGTTAATCTTGAGTGTATGAGGCCATCTTGAGCGGACCACATCAACGATTCTATAAAAGACCTAAAAAACGACTACTGCCTTTTATTCTTATGTGCTTTAATTGGTGAAAGATCAGCGCTAGATACGTGCACCATAGGAGTCACCGGACGTTTCTTTTAATGCGGGACTATTCATGGAGATGCCGACTTATCAACGAAACGCGTCTTATCGAAGTCAGGAGGCAGTAGCCTTTTGGTAGTTAAAAGATAGATTAAGATCCCAGTCTTTTTGGGCATTTTCTTAATCCTTAAGAACCTATCTATCTCATTTGCCATCGCGGGGTGTCTCTCGGGTGATGTATAGACAGACCTTTTACCCTTTGTTACGTAAATGATAACTAAAAAACACTTGAAGTACAGCAGCGTAACAGTTGCACTAGCAACCGCTCTTGATGTATTAATGGAGGTCTGGGTGCATTACCGAGCAGCATCACCTCTTTCTGAATGCAGTAGGTGCTAAATAGGAAGACCAATGTCGTACGTTGCCGTCGGTACCATTGCGAAGGCTCAGTGATGTCCTTCTGCGGATGGCCTTCAGCTTGGAAGCTTTATATTTATATGACTATATATTGTTATCTGCGTAAAGAAAATGCTTTTTTGACCTTAGATTTTGAGGGCACTTTATATTCAAGGATGTTTTTGAAAATAATGTGGCAGGTGTGCTTGATGGGGGTTATTAGCGGCCTAACACATTTAACGCCAAGGTAAAAGGAAAAGGAAGATTACAGATACACAAGATTCTATGTTACCTTTGGCGGTATGTTAGCACACAGGCGAACATTATTCCGAAGCGTATCGATTTTAACACGAAATCACAAAGACCGTACACGTTTGGGTTGCCTTAAGACAGCCTTAACAGATAGTTACGGTCAGATTCGACAGCCCATAAAAGTCAATATAGGCTTCTCTGACCCAATGGTGTTTTCGACACTTAGAAGGTCACAGACTTTATATTATTGTATGTGTATCTTGTCGACTATATATATATATATATATATATATATATATAGTCGATTTCTAATTTCGAAATTATCGTTTTCATAACAACGATAGATAACTTCCGAAATTTATTAATCTTATCATGACTATTAGTATTACGAGTGTATCTGCTTTTGAATATATACGCCATAAGCCATTCAGCACAACAATTGCCGTTCAACACTCTCATTTCAGCGTATCTCTGTGTGCGCAAATCTGTCGCAACAAATTTTCCGATTAGCTTTTCGTGGGGACTCGTTCGAATGCTTGAGCAACTGTTATTGCTAGGGCGCCGGAATTGAAACGCCCATGATATTTACACAAAGTATCTACACTGTTTATTATATATGCTACATCTGTTTAAAAAAATAAAGGTCCACAATAAACAGAGAGTGGGTAGCGGTTATCAATCGCACTGTTACGTTGAAACCCAAACAATCCTTAACAAAAGTAATTCCGGCATGAAAAAATTTTTTAAAAACATCAGATCCTTGCGTTTTTCTCACACGAATCAGTCATTTCGATATATATTTTCATATATATATATATATATAATAAATGTATCTCTTTTTCTCACAAGGTACCTTCTTGTTATACTAATGCGTTACACGTGTAATCTACAAGTTTGAGATTCATTTGTTGCCGCAAATTAGCGACCGTCCTAACTAAATAAATTCAACCGATTTGTTGGGTTAAAGCCTTTACTTCTGTTACTTTTTTTTAATTTGGTTATCGTCGTTGTCGATCGAATCGAACTACCCACGTAGCCATGAGTGGCCATGAGCTAGTCAGGGCACTGGGTTGGTCTGTTATTGACCGTCATGGATCATCTCCATATGGTCCATTGTGCTGGTCCCGGCATTTTATACTCATTCAAATACCGTCGCAGCTGTTGCTCTTGTACGGGCTCCGATTTTCTGTTCGTTTGAAAATAAATCTAACCGTTGCAGCAGAGTTTTGTTACTGCAACGACACTGTCTGTATCGACAGTCGGATTCGCTGCTGCTACTATTACTACTGTAATCGTTTACATGAGGTCGGGGAGGAAATGGTGGATCAAAAGTGCTTGTTGAGTCATCAGTCGTCAAAAATGTGTATACGTCAACCAGCCCAGAATAAAGTTCTATATCGCTACCTTAACAATTCCCATTGATATATTACGCCCTCCGTATTAAGCCTTACGCGTCTGTTGAAAAGTCCCGCCGGAGGAAGCAGCTTCTTTTTCGCTAGTGCACGAAAGATCTGCGTTGCGTCCTCGCCTTTCTTGGTGTTCACTATAGGCTCTCCGAAATGCTCCACGAGCGTTCGATCCTTCTTCTCGCCTACATGTCACCTATTGGGACCTGTGCGAGCTGCGACTGGGAGTATTAGGTGGAAGTGTAGTATTATCTCATCTGGGAGTATTCTTCCTGCTCTTGCCTCTTTACGTCCTCGGTCCTGTGCGAGTTCAAAGCTATCGCGGTCGTCTGTGCATCAACGACGACCTTTCGCAACGGTGTTGATTGGTCTTTGGCGTGTCCATAGCGGCCGTAATTCCAACGTTACGGGCCAAACCGTTCGTTCTTGTTATCTTTCTTTCCCCCCTTTTTTGGTTCTGCTCAACACCGCGATATCCTCGTGGTTGTTGTGTGGCACTACCGTTAGACTGCATTAATGGCGCCGCCGCTTTAGTGGTTGTCATGGTACACAAGCGTCAGTTCGGTTGGTACTATTCTATTGGGTGCTACCAGAAGGCAGTGAGCTGCCTCTAGAACCGTGCGACGTGACTAGTGGCAAAGTAACGAAAAGATGGCACGCCACGTCATGTCTGCGTGTGTGTGCCTCACACTTGCCTGGCCCATTCATGACCACAAAGATGCACTCGAAAGGCGACGGCGGCGGCGACCGAGACACGTCCAATACAGAATCCTATTGCATATCGCTAGAGAGCAAAGGAAGCGTGGTCTTTTGGATGTTTTTTGTTGTTTAGAGGGAAACTCTGCTTGTTCAGCGATCATACCATCCTAACCTGTACTGCAATCGGTTTATGTTAGCTTCCGAAGTATGCGTGCTTGTTGCTAGATGGCGCCGTGTGCTTCCAAGCCATATATTGTGTCATATAATTAATAATGATAAGATATTGCCGGTATAGTACCATAACTTCAAATATAGCAGTATCCGTGCGGTAAAAGCCAATAACTGTGCGGCCCATGACTTTTCCTGATGTTAGCACCAGTGCTGCTAGCGGTGGCGGTAGTGTACAGTTGCGTGGTTGACTCCGCACGAAAAAGCGGCCCCGCAGTAACTGCAGCGGGCGTCTCTGCCTTTATTGGTACAGCGTCGCCGTCGTTAGAGCGTGTATAGACCGAGCGTTAGGATAGATAACGTATTATTTGGCCTTGCGCCGCGACAGATTATAGATCACGGACGACCGATGCCGCAGCGAGAAACAGCAAATGACAATACAGCCAGTTAGAAGTAGAAGAAACTGAGATAGTAGACGTATTTCTAATACGTACAAAGGAGTGTGCCAGGCGGCTGAGTGACGATGAGAAAAAATAGCGTTTTCATCCTGTATCTATTTTGAACATGGAAAAACTTAGACCGGTAGGCAGTACGAACTGCAGTGGCGTTTATTGCTCACGGCCATGGCCTGATAGGGATGCTGTTGGACGCGATGTAGTGGCACGCATCGATAACAATATTAGCAATATGAACGTTTCAAAGGCGAACGAAAATGCATCTGGACTAATCAGATGAAGTTGTCTTTCGAAACTTGTCGCGACACTGCCAGATATATAACAGTGATGCGCTAAGTTAAACACTAAACAATAGTAATCGATGAACAGTTAGTACTTTTCGAGTCGATCGACGAGAAGTTCACACATCTCCATTTACGATTTATCAAGCTTCAAACGTCAGTTAAAGTTGATTCCGTCTTACGTGGCACCGTAACGCTGTCGACCAACAACATTTCGAAACTGAAGCCTGTACTAGCAATCTGGCGTAATTCCTGATCACAACAAACGCGCGTTCGTTACTACACCGAACGCTAAGCAGTGGTAATGCATCTAATCGAACGCTCAAATCCTTGATGTTTGATTCTTGTCGTTCGAATATCGTTGCCGGACACTTGTTCAGGTCCAACGGGCATCTTGTGTACGGCGGTGAATGAATGACATTCAATTGAAATAGGCTCCTTTAGCTGCCCACAGGAGGCGAAAAATTACGTGATACTGAAGTTAGCTCTAAGGTCAGATGATTCAAAATGAATTTTGTATGGGTGTCCATCTTATGGTTTATGACTCGCGACGCCGTGACTTTATCGTTCTTATCATTGCTAAATTGCCAATACACGCTTTTCGAGAGTTTATTTATTTCTGGAACTCTTCGCAGTACCAAAGTTACTTTAGCCAGCAGTACAACAACGCAGTACGTCGCATTGGTCTGAAGCACACCTCAGGACGCAACAACATTTTGAAACACTTGAACCAAGACGTCCCATTTGATACGCCATTGATTCTATCACTCACCAATAAAAAACTGTAATATTAGGCTAAGTACTACGGTTAAAAAAATATGATCTGTTAGAGGGACACTTGCACTTCTCTAGTTCGAATGTTCCGCCCGACTAGAGAAGTGCTAGTTATTACAGATGCACATACTAAAGTATGCTATTTAATGTATGTTTTCTGTTCGTAAAGATCCTTGAGAGGATCGAAAATCCAGTAGGTGTCTGTAATAACACGTTCACTCGCAAATCAACTTAGCTTAAACTTCCAGAACAAGCAATCAACTTCACACGAATTTTTTTCGAAATTTGTAAAAAAAAAGTGATAGAAAAAAATTCAAAAGATACCGTATCAGCTCGTGTGCAGCTCAACACATGTAGTTTCAAGAGCTTTCTCTGCACGTCCTACAAGATCCGATACTTGTACGTGGCTTCTGCAGAATCCTCCGAAAATTCATATACATATATATATATATATATATATATACACTCGTATGTTTTCACTGGATTCTATTACGTCGCGTGCGCCACTAATCAGTCAATCAATCTAATATTTTACCCAAGGTCAACATGGTAACATGAAGTTTTGTTAAACGGGATTTTCATTTGCCTTCCCCTTCTATTATTATATTTTTGCAGAGGCGATATCTTGGCAGTGGCAACTAGTGCATACCTCAGGAGCCAAGCGCCGAGCGGAGCACCGCTTTGGAAGACGGAAAAAACCACACCATTTCCACGTATAAATCGGCGGAAGGATGTTCTCCTGGATTTTAAAAGACGAAAGTCGCAACAAGAACGCCGACACGTACATTTCCGTTGTTGAGGGTGAGTACCTACTGACGAAAAATCCGCGAAAACAGTTGCTCTCGTTGATGCCGTTGTTGCCTTCATTCTGTTAGTTCCTGAAACACACACTAAAACTAAGGTAAGAAATGTTAAAACTGAGCTTTCAATCGACTTCGCGTCGAGACTGATGACTTTTATTGGCATACAGGCGCATGTGATACGCGAGACGGAATATGGAGACGCTACATGCCGTCAGAAAAACAGCGTGATGATGGTGATGATGCTAAGTTATACTGGACTTATAGACCTTTGAGGAGAGTCAAAAGGCGCTTAACCCTTTACGAGGCAATGAAAGAAAGAAGAAGGCAGACCAATTCAGTCTTCTGGGTCCTCTACATATTACGGATCCCTATACACGGTGTATACATGTATATATATATAGATATATATTTTTGATATGAGCAAACCCAAGCACCGAGCGAACATACTGTTAATCAAGTTCTCTGAGAGCACATCGTTTTAGTTTATTATTATTATTATTGCAACAGTTCCCTATTTAAATTGAATAAGTGCCAAATTAAGTTAGTTCATGTTAGTCAAGTAAATGCAATCGCTCACTCAAACAAGTAACTATAAAAAAGTAAAAGGATGATAATAATCATCCCTGTCCAAAGAAGATCTATTTTTGCGATAGAACCGCTTAAATATAAGATTCCCTAACTGGTGAATACCGTACAATCAGTACCATTTCAAAAACACCTTAACTTTCTTAGTATTTTAGTGTATTGGACATGTACAACAAAAACAGCATCGCATAATATATATTTATGCACTATCTTCATACAATAGATATCGATTTATGAAAAAGAAAGGTGTTGTTTTGTGGAACAGAGCCGTGGTGGAAACGAAATATCAATCTAACTTTTATTTGTTTGTTCATTTAATTCAATCGTATCTATCGAAAACATAAGAGAGGACACTGTTAGTTATAGTTAATTATGACAGTATACCAAAAAGTAAATTATCAGTTCTTTGCGATTAGGACAAAACTGGAAGTCTTTCACCTTGATAATTAATTGGCACACATTTGGAAGTCATTTTATTGCTAAATATGATACATTTGAAAAATGGTAATGTTCTCAGCGCTTCTATAGCTTCAGAATGTTATTTAAACAGAATTTGAATAAGCATCTTTGAAAGCGTTTAGTCATTTTAGCACTTGAAAACCCAGTCGTCCAAAGCCCTCATAAATATTACGAAAATCTTCCAGAAAAGCGATAGA